TTACTAGTAGTAGTTGTTGTTGATAGTCGAAAAGTGGAAGAGAACGACATCGCCATGTTTTTGTTCTTTGGTGAACACTTATTTCGCGCGACCGACATACGCCGAGCGGCCGAGTCCATTGAAAGCTCCATGCGGCACGCACGGCACTGGTGTTGGGGAAAACGCAGATATCAAAGACACCCGCGACCGCAAAAAATTCGTGTCGAAAGCCAGTTTTCCTTTATTTCATACACATATGGAGTCTAATTTTCAGTTCACATTTTAGTAATGTAGCGATCGGAAAATTATCACAAGGCTCATAACGGTCGTAGCCCGAGGTGGGGTGGTGTTACGGCCGTGGTGCTTAGCGGGTTACGGCCAGCCGCGACCGCTATCGGCGGTGTTGACATGCCGGCGGGACCGGAATGGGGTGACCGCTGACCGCGTTGAACAGTGACCGCTATAGACACGATTCTTAATGCTTACGTCAATGGGAAAAATTCAAGGGACCGACAAAAACTGACCGCTATGGCCGAGTGACCACTATACAAAGGTGACCGCTAGTACAGGTTTGACTGTATATGGACTGTTATAGATTATAGAAGTCATTCAGAAGCAGTACTCTACTTTTGGCAGCTGTGGGAGACGGCTTGACAAAACAACAGTCTGACCTCAGGTGGCAGTCCTTTGGTACATCAAAAGTTCAAGTATATCTTGACACAAGGAAACACTGACAATGACACTTGTTTGGAAAGTAAAATACTGCATGTTGGCAAGCTAGATATAAGAAGGACCTTTTGGAAACGACACCGTGGATAAAGGAACACAAATACATTCTGACCTTCTAAAAGGTAATAAAAAATAAATAAGTAAAAAAAAGAAGTGTACAGAGTACACAGCCATGCAGAAAAATAAACTAAATGCCAGACACCACGATGTTTACCAACTTTCAATCTGGCGGAAAATGAAGCATACGATAAGATCAATTCACGAACCATACTTTCTGCATGTTTTTTTTAGCAGTATAATCTATAATCTCCACAAATTTACAAACTTGCAAACAGAAAATCATATGACATGGACAAGTAATATCAGCGAGTAACTTTTTCTGACAAGGACTCTTGTAGTTCTAACCAGAGTTCAGAATGAGATGGAATTTTGACACTCCCATGGGACAAAAATGTTGCCCAATCCGTCATCTTTCACTGACAAGAATTGGTGTGTAAAGATATGCAAAAAGATGTGTCATTAATGATTAAACAAAGGTTAGTCTACTAGTAAAATCTGCCCCTCAAAATGCAAACAGAAACATTTCTGAGGGTCAAGATTTCACAATTTTCCTGAGGGAGCATGCAACATTGTTACTTGGCATGATGTTACCTCAAAAGAAATTAACATGATGGAAAGAAAATTTTAAGGCTGGCTACAACACTGTTTATGAAGGTAATGTTTTCAGCACATGAGGCTACCATGTGGCTGGGCCTGCTGAAGTGCTAATGCTACAGGGAGTTGGTCCCAGTGTGCCAACCACTTCTGAAAGTGCCCACTGGGAGCTGGTGATGACAGGTGTGCCAAGGTCTGTGTCTTCAAGGAAACTGTAGCTGGAATGTGGACAGTTCTACTGCACAATTAGTTCTTCTGGAACAGTTGCAAAATGGACAAGTTATATCATTACTTATAATCATATTCATAGACCTAAATTTGAGATGTATGTCAATGTTACACAATGGTGTTGAAAAATCTATCACATCTTTTTCATGGTTCCTTTGTATCGATTTTTCATGGGCTTCAGTAAAAGATAGATACAAAGGTACAAAATTATGGCTGAACTAGCTACAATTCGTTCTTCTGGGCACAGTTGTAAAATAGACAAGTTACAATCATATTCATAGACCTCAATATTATAAAATGGTGTGGGAAAATCTTTCACATCTTTTTTTGTGGTACCTTTGTATTAATTTTTCATTGGTTTCAGGTAAGTTAAGATTGGGTACAAAGTGCAAAATTGTGGCCTAACCAGCTACAATGTACATACAATTTACAAACCATGTGTTACGCATCTTCAACAAGAAATTGGTTCCATGATACACTTTGAGGTCCCTAAGCCAAAAGAATGCTTGTTTCCATCTGCTTGTCATCTTTCTTATTGAACCCAACTGAAGTGATTCCCAACATACAGTTGTGCTTTCTTGACTGCCATCATCACTTGCTAAAAAGTTCTTTGACAGACAAGAGCCACAGAGATAACATAAGGTTCCTTCAGAACCGTAACATAAGGTTCCTTCAGAACTATGAGGGTATCTATTGTTACAACAATCTTAATCTGCAGTAAATATTCTTAACTCCTAAGAAAGCTGGAGAGGAAACGTTAGACAGAAACAATGCCCTTGAACTTCCCTCAAACTTTCAAAGAGGAAATCGTAACTCAGCCCTTGCTACTAGACAGACTGACTCATGTGTTCCACTGGTCTGGCGGTTTTCACAGACAGTCCAAAGAGGTGCCAGGACCTTTTCTCTAATCAGGTTATCCACTATACCTTTGGAAGACTAGAGGGTCTGTATGGGGGGATCCAGGTAATGCTTAATGGTAAATTTAGGAGGACTAACAACGCTTAAAATAACTGTAAATTCAGGCAGGCCGGCAACAATTAACAGTAAATCAAGTTGCTCTTGCGTAAAGATTTGGGAATGACTGCACAGTCTGCACTGGATGGTTCTTTTGTATTCACATGTGGTGTCTAGTAAAACTAGTCCCTTGATTTTGGGGCAATCTGGCATTCGACTATGCAACACGAAGAATTTTTCAACAATGCTTACAGTTACAAGTGCAACAATGAATTCAGAACACCAAATTATGTGCTGCGGTGAATCAAACCATCAATTTTGCGTCAAGAAGAATTTCCTGACAACGCTTAACGTGGAATTAAAGCAGGCAGCTACGATTAACGGTAAATTAAAAATGGCTCGCTACGCATCACGGAAAAAGGCACGCAGACCCTCGTGATACAACTGCAAGACAATGTATGTATAGCGTGGGTGCGACATCAAAGTACATAATCTTGACAAAGAACTTGTGTGTGTCCTTAAGTACAACACAAACATGGCAGCCACCAACAGGCCTGCCAGCAAACATCTCAGTGTAGTCTGGGCAATGTCCGATGAAGTTTTCCTACTGAGGATAATGACCAAGCGATTAGACAGATCGTACTGGTAGGCGCCTGTGCGAAACTGATTTTTTCATGGTTTTTGTTGGATCTCTGGTCAATGTTGCCTCAGAATTTTGCCCGTTACTAACATTGTAACAATATCTTTTCTGACACATTTGAAAACTGTACGTAACGTCATCCTAAACTATGCTAATGCGACCTTAAAAGAGATGTTCTGCTGAAGTGTTATGCACAATACATTACAGGTTTCGCACAGGCACAGTACGTTCTTGGCTGACAAGCTAAATCAGTAAATGACTCCAGTTAATGACCATTTCCACAGCAACCATGTAAAATGCTGTGATTTTGGATATAACATCATTGTGAGATATACTGCCCAAATTATCAAAACGGCCGAGAGGAAATAACAGTAATTTGACAGCAGTTAAAACCATTGTGACAAAACTGCTGAGACGGAAGATTGCAGCCCCTTTTCGCTTCCCACATGTGGTTATGTCCATCTGTTTGAACCATTTACACTTTTTTTTTTAAATTGCAGCTCTACTTCCCACTAGTACTGGTATCCATATTGCGAATAAACTTCTAATAAACATACCAGTCTCTGTTATTTGCACTGCAACTTACAAGCCAGCTATATATGATATGCACCACAATTACACCAATATATTTGATCAATTTAAGTTTTTAACACTACTCAGATCTGTTATTGCTGTTAATGCCTCTCCTAAACCCATCTGCTAAGCACAAGTTTCATACTTAATGACCATTACAATCCAATATTTAAGGGTGATTTTATAGCTTACATGACACAGGTCAGGATGAATTGTAACCTTACTAAGAAGATATGCTAACATGAACTAGACTAATAATACACTTCCACGGAGCAACTAATGTTATACATTCTATATTTATGTATTCCAAGAGTGTTTGTTGGAAATGTAACACACAGGCTAAGAGCTGAAACCACATCTGAAGCCCAGAAGTGCCTCTGAGACAACAACTGTTCAGTTGATGGCTATTGCAGTCTTGACTGTGTGGCACACAAAGTGCCCACTTACTAGCCTCTACCAGGCTTCAGAAGCGGCTGGAAAGAGCAGAAATTGGCCACATAAACAGATAACATAGCAGAGGAGTTGTTGCGCTAAAGGAGTACGGTATTCTGGTGTGTTATCTGTCTATTTTGCTCTTTTCAATCGCTTCTGAAGCCTGGTAGAGGCTAAGCAATTCACACCCTAGCCGCCCTCCCACCCTACGCTGGACATGACCCCCCTTTGGTCATCGTATATCTACGGGGCTTCTAATCCAATTTAGGCCTGTTTTACACCTTTCCTAAATACCCTTCAAATTCAATCTAGTCCACTTGCACACTTCACTACTTCCTTGGCTCCCTCGGGGCACAAGAAAGGGTTCAGAAAACTACGCACGGAGGGAAAATATGTCTTCCACAACCGAACTACACAATAGTGCAAATCAGAGAAAGCCACGGCCGAGATTCCTTCCCTTTGGCGATGAAACTAATTGCATCAAAGAAGTTCAAACCTATCGGGAAACACACAAATATAACGCTTAGGGAATGCTGAATTATTGAACTATAGATCGGTACGAATCAGAAGCGTGGTGAAGGAGTAGTAAAGGTAGAAAGTTACCGAAGCCTTGACTTGCGTCCCGGTCAAGCAGGGGCAAAAATTGATGTATGCAAGCCACACAGAAAACATGGCAGCCCTGTGTGTGTGTATCGGGCGTTGCGGTAGGGCATATCCCGCAAGTTTGGCACCCCACACGTCCATCTAGTGATCGGAAACACGTACAAGGTCATACCAGATCAAATCACGGAAATATAGAAAGGGAAATTACCTGCAATTGTGTGTTTCAACCAGGAGAACTAGGCGACATCCCGTTCACAAAACACATAGTGTAGGAAGTAATGGCGCTGTTTAATCTGACGTTCACCCTCCGTCGAGATCCATGCAGACTGGTGAGAATTTCTTTTGATTATCATAAATATCGTCATCTAACACCACAACGTTATTCCTAGAAATTCTAAAATAATATCTAGAAATTATTCCAATATTACTCAGCCGATAACACGACGTAATAAGATGTGGAGGATATAATAAAAAGAATGAAATAGCAGCAGTGGCGGGGAGGGGTGTCGGTTGACGGAACAGCCAGGCGAGCTATCAATGCTGTCAAGTCGGAAAATTGATTGACGAGCAAATGAGAGCTAGCGCGTCGGTTTCTACACCCCCTCACTACCCTCAATCTCATACAACAACTACACATGTTGGGGGCTTTACCTAGCTTTCTACACCGCGCATTCTTGTAGGAATGTTGTAGCTTTGGGACTCTAGTTTTACTCAACAGAGTGTCAAACACTGGTGGAGACAGTTACAACAGATTTTTCTTTTTCTCGCAGTCCCATGACATGCATGGCGGCGCTTGAAAGAAAATGGACATATGCAAAATCAACTGTGTGTGTGTAGTCTGCTGCACATGCATCCTTTATAGCCCGCTTGCAACGTTTTGCCAGTTTCGAAAGGTTAAAAACTGTACGCAAAACGTTTTGGAAATCGGTAGGGTACAGAATTCTCCTGGTTTTACACTTGTCCGGCAAAGTATTCCGTTATCTGGGTTTAAGTATTTGCTCAGAAGACTAAACAGACGAACAAAGAATGAGATTTGTAGGTTCAGTGTCAGGCTATACCATATTACAGAGGCAAAGAGGACCATATTTTAACCACAATTATTAATCATATGCAACATGTACAATTTCATTTGTATATAAGTTTTACATACTATTATATCTTTACGTTTTTATATAGTATAATGAAGATCTCTTTAATACATCTTCCTATGTAAAATATTATACTGTCTTAATTAACCCCCATGCTTAGTTGGTATAACCAATATATCCCATCATGACTTGCGCAGAAAAGTAGACGACAAAGCTATTTCCGGTAACTTCCGGTTTACAATGGAGACATGCATATACAGGAATCCGTACAACGTGAAAGGTTAGTATACGTATCTGTGAAGAATGCACGGCGTTATATCGATACCGTATGTCGGGAAATATGTCCTCGTGCACAGGGAGCGTTTGGTAGTCACGATAGTTCTTTAAACTTGTCGTTAAAGGTCTTTGCCGGTGGGACAAGAAGTTATAGTTGCGTGGCACATCCGTGATCGAGTTGTTGTTTTGCATGCTGGAAGTGGTCCAGTCTAAGTTATGATAATTCATAATTTCCAGAAGAATTTCAGCTATAAGGCGAGGACTAGATTATGTTGATGAGTTAACAAGTATTTCAGGAACTGCATTTGGTACAGGTGCAAACTTGTAGTAAAAATCCAAAATCTTTTTTATTAGGCACCTATGCATGTTTTGTCTGGTCACCTGTTTATCTTCTGTTTATGTAAACAGGATGCAGCGTAAACAATACTGATAGGTGTTGAAACGGAGCCAGATGTGCAATAAACTGTTTGTATCCCTACTCTGCAGAAATATTTACATATCCTGCTCGTAACGTTAACGTTAAGTAAGTCCGCATAGCTGGAGTGCAAATTTCCAAATTTTGATATCAGAGCTCTACAGAGAGAGACCTTCGAATCATTTGATGTCAAATTATAAGTACGATGCTTAGAGATGTATGTCTGTTGGTCTCGGGACTTGCTAAGCATTGCACCTTGGCAGAGGGTGTTTTATCATAGTATCCTACAGGCGTATTGTCTTTTTTCTTGATGGCCGTGTGCCAATTCAAATACAGACTGGGAGTGCAGGGGTACAACACAAACACTTGCATTACATCTAAGAGGTAAATTTAGGAGGGCTAACAACGCTCAACAGTAAATTCAGGGGGACGGCAACACCGTTACGGAAAATTGACATGTTCTTGTGAAAGGTTTGGGGAACAAGTTCATTGGATTATGTCATTGTTATACCATGGGGTCTGAAACTCTGATGTCTGGAACAGCAGAGCACATTGGCAGAATGTGGTGTGTCTGCACGATACCCAGATTTTTCACAGTTTTCATTGTATGTTTGACCAACGTTGCATCAGAATTTGCCTGTTGCAGATTTTTTTTTTCCGACACAACATTTAGAAGCTATAGATATCTATGGGATGTCATCTTTAAAAAGGCCAATACGTCTTTTATCAAAAAGAGATGTTCTACTAAAGTGATGTGCACAATACAATAGGTTTCGTGCAGGCGCAGTGCATTCTGCCAATATGCTGAACTGAAAATTCTGATGCAACATTTGACCAAACATCAGGCTTTTAGCCAGGTGGTGTCCAGGGTGTCTATAGGACTGAAAATTAAGTTAGACATTGGATGGACGCCCTACTTTTTGGTAGGACTGTGTGACCCTTTAAAAGACGCCCTATTTTTTCCATTCCTATTAGTCCTAACCCCTGCCATGCACACATGCCTCCCTTCAGCCTTACTATAAATGCAAAAATTAAGCATTATGAATTTCAAAAAAAGCCCCCCTAAAAAGCTTGAGTACTGCACTGCACGTCTTCGCTGCACATAGCATTCATTAAAAAAAAATGGACAACCAAACAAAAAAAATCCTAGCTAAAAGCCTGCCAAACATCCAATGAAAACTATGGTTTTGTGCAGTACAGGTGTAGTACATTCTTTATTAATAGTGCATGTCCATCCAGCCTCCGAAAGACAAATTTACCTCCAGGTCAATGTTGCAAGTGTTAATGAATCACCACTTGTCGGGTATCCTAGCACCCAAGATATCATTGATAAGAATTGCAACAGGACCGTTCAATGTTTAAGACATTAGGGCGAACCTTGCTACAGCCCATGTTTACACAAGGTGGGCGACCCTGATATTTTCTACATTCCTCGCACACTGGAAGTTCTTGTGTAGTTATTGGAGGTAACAAACATGGACTTGCTTCTGTATTCTCTTAAAGGCACGCAAGGCGATTTTTTCAAATCAAACTTTCAAAGTCAATTTTCTGGTCGTTTTGTTAATGTAGTAAGTTGAATCAACACTTTCTGATAGCATACTTAACTTTTTATATCTGTGAGGCAAAAATGCGATGTTGCTGATGGAAAACATTTTACTACAAGACTTATTTTTAGTCCTTTAGCTATATAGGCTGGTTCTAGGTATTTATTGGTGGAACCCAAAAATAAAGGGACTCTAACGTAGCTTGTTTTGGGGCTATTTCAAGCACCTATGTATAAAATTATGACAAAAACGTGCTATGAAATGGCAATTAATATCAATATCAGGCAGATTTCCTCATCCAGAATATTTTATATTACCAAGCTTAAATTGCATTTGATGCCTTTAATGTCTTGAGTGTTACACATTTGAATGAAATCACTGCCTTTATCAGTGGAAAACAAACTGTAACAACTACAAAGGCAAGGACTTTCTTCAACTGTTAGTACCCCTATAAATTAATATGAACATTTTGGGGTTGATTGAGAACATGAATGGTATGCGCCCCCTTTTCTTGCAACAAAGATGTAGAAAAGGTAGAGCGGGCAAATCCTAGAGCTAAGAAATTAAATTGGTATTGCCTGATCAAAGTATTCATGTTAAGCATGTAACATCAGAGTGAGAGTTCTTTTGCTGTACAGTAGCAACAGAGATACAGGTATGTTGCAGTTTTGTGTTGCTCAGTTTGCCACTCGGAGCAGTTTGATTATCACAACTGAAGAGCTACACTTGACCTTTGTCACTCAAACCCTCCCAGATAACCAGTTTGGTACTGCATTCGTAGTTATATCATCTATAGATTAGATTAGGCTATACCAATTTTATTTCTTGGTTCTGAGATCTTTGTGGAAAAAAATATGAAGCAAAAGGGAAAAAAAATCAACCTCATCCTAGTACCTACAACTACTACCATTGTAGAGTAGATGTACCTGTTTGGTGAAAATGTTGAAAAAAGTACATGAAAGTGAAACTAGACTTTGCTATATGATATGTTAATTAATATGGGTCAGAATCTTAATAAAAATATTACTGCAGTGATAAAATGTATGCAATTATATGAGGGACATAAAAGCAACCAGTCTATTTTCCATCTCTAAAAAGTCATCCAATGAAAGTTAGTAAAATGAAGATTGCAAATTCACTGTGGTCTTATAAAGTTTTTCACATTTTGGAAAGCTCTATTTATGAGGGAGCTTCAGGCCCAAGCCTCAAGCAACAAACCTGTGCACATAAAAGAACCCAACACACTTATCAAGAAGAGTAGCTTTAGAGATGACTCAGTGTGCTTTGCTTTAAAATGTGAGCTATACCAAAGTCGCATTGCACTATAGTAGCTAACGTTACTTGAAAAAAAAACATTATGCTGAACCTCAGTTGAGGATGACTACTAAAATACCATACTTAAGAACAGGTATGGTAGTGTCCCAGATGTTCCATCTCTTTTACTGCAGCTGCCTGGTCCCTAGTTGGACACAAATAAAGCTATTGTGATATAGATAACTATTGATAATTCTTTTGTTTGACCATATGGCACCAACTCCTTATTGATTATGTAATCAGCACCGTACGCTTATATTACTTTTCCCTTATGTGCAAGATGGTCCAAATTGTACATGTACTTCTAGAGAATTAGATAACAGTCCATTATGCGATAAGTCCATTTTTTCCAGTACATGTACTAGCTTAAAAGGGTTAGCTCTTTTAATAACTGGTATAAAGTTTAATAGGTAGAAAAATCAATAAGAAATTATTTGAATTTAGCTGTTGATAGACGTTACCACACAACATACACTATGATACTGCACAATCAAATTGTTATATTTCAATACCTGAAAATACAGATACTGTACAAAGGAAAAAAACTGCATCATCATTCTGGACCCTAGTAACTAACCATATACCAAAAATAAAGAAATTCCAATAGTTAGTTATAGTTGCGAACACACAAACATGACCAAAAACAGTACCTTCCCGGAGTCAATGATATTAATTTATACATTTGTATACTGTGAGCTAAGGAGTGATACCAAAAGAAAATGATTTGAAAGTATGGTAGCAACCGATTGTGTGAAGTGAAGATATTATAACTGTACATTACCAACTTATGTCTTGCAGAGTTGATTGTTGTTGTATGACCCATTGTATTCTATACCTGACCATTATCTCTTTGTCTTTCCTTTCTTGCAGGTGTCATCACAGGATAGTGCAGTGATGCTGCTCCGAGACGGTGCATCTGATCGTGTCTGTGACAACCATGTGGTCTTCCCATCCTCTTTTCACAACGAAAGACTCTTATTTTCTCTCACACTGTTGTGTCAACATGTTTGTTCTTCCACTTCTTCTACTTATTTTGAGCTGTGTAAATATAGTGCAGTGCCTGCCTACTCAGGATTCACTACAAAAAAGCAATACGTCAACTCGTACCCAAGTATTGAAAGAACTACAAGCAGATAGCACCTTTACTTACTCAGGGAAGGGGAGAAGTAGGTTAAAAATCACTCCAGCTGCGTTTAGAAGGACAGAACGGGTCAGATTTTTGTCTTCTACGCAAGAAGAAGCTCGCAATAGACATCAGTGGACGTGGTCTTGGGCTGTGAGACTAAAACCCAACTGCAAGGAAGGTTTCTATAGCCAACACCAACTTGCAGACCATGTATCGAACGAACTAGCGCTCCAGAATTTAGGGCAAGTAGGGTTACTGGAAGATCATTTTCTCCTGGTTCACGAAGAGTACCACAGGACGATGGAGATTTTGGAGCACAAGGTGGAGCACAGTCTGGGCATCACGGCCGCGTTACGCCGACATCCGTGCGTGGAGTGGTCGGAACAACAGTTCATCCACAGCAGGGTGAAGAGAGACCTCACACTCAAGTTTCAGGACCCTTACTACCGACTGCAGTGGCACTTAGTAAGTACTGCACTGGAGGATTCTGGGAACGATAAGACCACACGAATTTAATTTGTTGTTTCTCGGATTCGCGTCTTCATTTTTTTTCTGATTTGCAAAAAAAAAATGTTTTTGTTCTGAATCAACTGCAAAATGCTCAATGACATATTTTGGCCCCAACGGTTGAAGAAAGTCCTTTTCTGCCTAGTTGTTTAAGTTTTTCAACGTAACAATGCAATTTTGTTTCATTAAAAGTTGAAAATTTATTGTATTACATGTAATTATAAACCAGTCTGGTGTGTTCACTTCATGGCTCATATTGTTAACATTTCTGGCTATCATGAGGTGCCTTGGCCTGTTTTTTTTGCCCTGTCGCCTCATATTTTTTCAGAAAAAATCCGAGAAGCAACAAATTGAATTGGTGTGGCCTAATATTGTACATGTACAAGCCTGAAAGTTAGCTCTAGCTTCTCCCGACTTGTTACATTTGAAAATGTTATAATCTTTCCTCTCAAACATCTGCTTTAACTTAAGATTTATTAACCCTCAGCCTACTAAGGTAGCCATTTGGCAACAAATTTGTATTGGTTATGAAGTTAGGCAATTGGGGAAAGTTAAAACATTTAAACATTACACTCTGTAAATTAGAGTCTGTCTCATAGATATTGTTAATGATCTGTTTAAGTGTACGAGTCTAAAAACTTTCTATGTATGAGTCATTGCATGGAGGTCTCAAATTAGTAATCATTGCATCAACGTGACTCATCATGTCCAGTCCAAATTGGCCCAAAAGACCATTCAGAGTGGCGATAAATTTGGTATATGTGGACAGGTGGTCACTATGGACAGGGTCCTTAATTAAATGCTTGTTTCCATGGAAAAAATTATCACCGAAATGTAGTCACATTGGCCAGGTAGTCCTTATGTAGAGGTGGTCACATGTACAGGTTTAAGTGCATGTAGTGACATTGTATTTTGTACTGTCTTTGATATTGAATGGGAAGTTCAACACATCTTGTTTTTACCAATAGCACAACAGGGACAGCACTGGGATGGACCTGAATGTACTGAATGTGTGGAAGAAGAACATCACAGGGGCAGGCGTCACTGTGGCTGTCATCGATGATGGTACATGTAACGTTAATGATACTATAACTACAATAATTTAATCTCCAAGATCTTTCGGTGGCTGCAAGACAGTATCAAATTGGCCAGGCTGTATCCATTAGCCAGACAGTGTCCAATACTGTCATCCAACGATTCCAAGAAATTATAATAATGGCCAATTTTATACTGTCTTTGCAGCCACTAAAAGATCTGCTTGCACTGAATAACGATAATAATTATATTATGAAGCAAATTTGAATTGTAATTTCCAACACAAGAAATTGGACTTGCCCAAATTTTCGACTGTACACCAATCCAGACATGACTCGGTCAGCACTGTGGATCATAAGTTGTAGAAAGTCTGTTGCACCCCACCGCTAGTTACTGTGAAATATTTCAACTAATAGTTTTTCTCTTTGACATGCTGAAGACTGCTCATGTATTGCCTGTTTTTAATGTAAATCTGTTTTGCTCCATTAGGTATTGAGTGGACGAACCCGGATTTACGGAACAATTATGTAAGTCAATGTCAACCTTACTAGCCATATCTAACTAGAGTTCTGAGATCTCATACTTTGGTCAAATGATGTTATCCTTCAGAGTCAGATGATGTGTGAATGTTTTTTTGTTCTTGATGCAAGTTAGGTCCTCATTTGACACCCAAATTTTTCAAAGAACACGATTGTATGAAAGTCTTACCTTTGAAACGAAGGTTATCTTAGGATTTCCTCAACAATTATGTAAATGAGGAGCTAATTTGCATGATTTATGTCTAATGCTGTTCGCCTTTACTCAACTGCCATGCAAGTGCTGCAAGTATGAAATTCTTGCCATTTGTCACTATTGAATTGTACACAAAAGATTTCTCCAAATATGACAACTTACACAATATTTGACAAAAATCATACTTCAATGTTTGACTTAAATTGCTTTTTTCTTATTCAGAGTCCAGAAGGGAGTTTTGACTTGAACTCCAATGACCCTGACCCCATGCCTGAGTTTGACACCAAGGGACAGAACCACCATGGAACAAGGTGTGCTGGGGAGATAGCTGCCGTGGCCAACTCTGTGTGTGCAGTGGGGGTGGCCTTCCACGCCAAAATTTCAGGTTAGATTTGTTTGGTTGTTTTTTGTATAACTAGCAAACTGCATTTAGGCACAATACACCAGTTTTGTACGGTAAGTACGTACAAGCTGAGTAAGACAGGACTGTAAGGTTTGAACCACTCACACTGGTAAAGACCCCTACTTTTTTTAGAAAAAAGGTGTTATATATAAGTACTTTGACCAAGGACACTACATGTGGGGCCTGCCATGGATTCGAACCCAGAACCTTCAGATTCTGTGTCAACAGCCATAACCACAAGACCACCTTTCCACCTCTAGTTCAATATATTACTTGTATCTGTGCTTATAACACACTAGATGTATATCTCTGCAGGCAATCTCTGTTGCCATCAGAATTATATGGGCAGAACTTTTGGTAGCCTTTATTCAATATCTACAAAAAGATCTTTGACCACCCCGTTGCTACATAACCTTGTTATAACGTGATAAAGTTTTCTGTCTGTTGCAGGTATTAAAATCTTGGATGGGCCCATGACTGACAACCTGGAGGCCGCAGCATTTAACAAGAACATGCACATCAATGATGTCTACAGCTGCAGGTATGGGGATGATTCTATTCAAAAGAAACTTCACCTCATCACCTCTGTGTAAGAGGTGACAGTGGAGTATGCGCTGAATCAGTGAGAAATTTGCAATAAACAAGGGAGGTGTGACATTGTCTGTTTCTTGTTCTTTTTCATGTTTTGAAGATTGGAATTGGTATACATGTATGGAGTTTACATATATGTAGTTTCTGCTGTATTTCATTTCCAGCTGGGGTCCAGATGATGATGGTAAAACAATTGATGGACCACACTACCTGGCAAGGGTGAGTCACATTTTTTCCTCTTCTTTTTCTCTGTGATATTTCAGCACAAGTTTTACTTCTTAACAATGTCAACCTTCTCCCTACTGCCTAACCCCATAACCAATAGAAAACTGCTAGCCAATTGGGAATTTCGGTATGCTAAAGGTTAAACTTATTGTGTTCAGGAGTCCTGTTTACATTCGCAGAAGGAAACATATCGATGTTGCTCTGTGTCTCCTTCTTCTCCATGCAAATTAGGTTAATAACCTGGACCAGACAGCTGTCACCATGGTAACTGGTGCTGTAGCAGGCAGACACCCTGTGGTGTTGGTCTATATTACATGATGTTTATAGCAAGTTGCAGAACATACAAATGTAGTTGGAGAGACTGGTCAGACCATATAAACATTGTGCATTTTGTTTGCAAATGTTACGTCTCTAATTACAAAGTTTATTTCCTATTCCACAGAAAGCTCTGCTGTATGGTGTGACTGGGGGTAGACAGGGATACGGCTCCATCTTTGTGGTTGCCAGTGGCAATGGCGGAAGCTCGGGGGACAACTGTAACTACGATGGTTATGCCAACTCCATCTACACAGTCACGATTGGTACATGGTCTTGTACATAGCATACTAGTTAAACACTATGCAAAAAGGAACAGACATTAGTCAGATTCAATATACTTTTTTTACTATAAAATTGTCATATTCAGATTAGTCTTGGAAGGAAATGGTGTGTTTACAGTTTCCTGACTGGCCCATAGCAAAAATCCTCCAACCATATCCTTGTTTTTTTAGGGGTCAACTGCTGGCAAGTCCACTAGATTTTTAATCTGAATTTCAAATCCTTTGAAACATTACTTCAAGCAAATTTTCATGAAGTAAATCGGATGAAATACTGGTCCCTTCCTTACAAGAAAATGGTTGGACGGGTTCTGGAGACAGCCCTGATTATGTTTTCAGTTTTACAATTATGTTAAACTGTATTTCTTGGATCACTACAGCCTAAATCTAAAAAGAGAAAATCGAGAATCCTCACCTACCAACCCTAGTTTTTTTAGGTCTGAAACTGGAAAGTTTAGGCCTTATGTCAATATTGATGATACATAGACAAGTATTGAAGTCCTGCCCCCCTCCCTACCCCAGGTGCAGTAGATGAGAATGGTGGGATCCCGTACTACGCTGAGTCCTGCTCCTCCATGTTAGCTGTCACCTTCAGCAGTGGAGACTCCTTCCACAAGGGCATCGTAAGATATACATCTTCATATCATAATAGCAAATTTTTTTGCAGGTTTATAATCTCAAAAAGATATACGATTTAAAGAAAAAAAGAAATGTGGTATCTACATGAATGATAGCTGTGATGAATGGACATTTTACTAGTACATGTATTATAAGTTTCTTGATATACATTCTAATATGAGTTCTCAGCTTTACTTATTATTGTCTTTCTTGCCAGAACATTTTTTGTGCATATTCTTTAGAATATTTATTCCAATGTCAGTTATGTATTTTTGCAGTTGTTTTATTTTCTCCACTGCAAATTCATGATACATCTGTATGGGAATTAAACACACACATCACTACCAGTGGACTAGCCTCCTGCGTAGTGATTGCACAATTGTGTGGGCCAAGGGCAATGAAACGGAGATGGGCACTGCCATATGCAAAATCATGTTAATGGTCGGGGGGAGGGCCTAACTTTATAGGACCTATAAATATTATGTTTGTGTGACTTAAACATTGAAGCCAGTCATGTCCCTTGGCAGGTGACGACAGACTGGCAGATGGGGAAGGGTACAGGCTGTACCACGGGTCACTCGGGTACATCCGCGGCCGCGCCGCTGGCAGCAGGCATGGTGGCCCTGATGCTGCAGGTCAGACCCTGTCTCACCTGGAGGGACGTACAACACATCATCGTCCTCACCGCCAAAATGGTAAGACAGTTAGTAGAACATTCATCAAACAATGACAGTTTTGAAAGCTGAGAAACACGTACAGGTCTCAAAATTAAAGGTGGTCCAGTAGCCACTGACCACTAAAATTCAGGCTGGGACAACTAAAAAGACACTTTGCGAGACTAGGTCACTCCGTGATCAAGACATACAGTGGACGTCGAAAATTTGGAGGTATGTGTACGTGTTTGCTAGCTTTTAAAACAGTCACTGATCACTATTTTACTACTTAGTAACTGTTAATCTATATGTGACTGATGAACCTTTTCAACAAAATGGTAAGGTTTTGGACGAGGAATTGTTACTCTAGCAACTTACTGGTCAGAATAGATTTTGAAAACTGTCAGACGTTTCAAGTAGCATCCACTGCTTTTACATACATGTAAGTCTAACAAAAAGTAGTGGATGCTACTTGAAACATCTGACAGTTTTCAAAACTATCCTGTTGCTTGAGTTACAATTCCTTGTTTAACCTTCATTGACAGAAAGGCTTTGTTTTGTAATTAATTCAAAACCTTTCCCTGATCGCAAACCAACTGAAGTTGGCAGAAGTTTAGGAGCAGTCTGACTGTATTTAGGCCATGCCTACCTTTTGTTAAAAATTGAATCAAATTTGATTTAAATTTGAGTAAGATTTGACTCCCAACCATGCCCCGTTGCAGTAGTAAGTATTGTATTTAATTCTTTTAATTTCGTGACATTCTGTACAGATAAAGAAGCATAAGGCCACACCAATTTAATTTCTTGGTTAACGGATTCGCCGCTTCATTTTTTGCTGATTTGCAAATAAAAATAAAAATTCAGAATCAACTGCAAAATGCTCATATTTTGCCCTGAACAGTTGAAAACAGTCCTTTTCATCCTACTTGTTACAGTTATTCAATCTTTCAATGCAGTGGTATCATTAAAAGTTCAAAATTCATTGCTTAAATTTTGAACCAGCCTGGTGTGTTGACTTTATGGCTCCTATCGTACCATTTTGGGCCATAATAGGATGCCTAGGCCTGTTTTTATTTTTATTATTTTTTCGCCCACCCGCTCCATTATTTTTCTTTAAAAATCCGTTAACCAAGAAATTAAATTGGTGTGGCCTAATTATTAAGAATTTGATGCAAAAATTGATTTGTGGGAATTGCAGATAAACCAGTACAGTTCAGAGTGGACCGTGAATGCTGCAGGTTTCTACCACAGTCATCAGCACGGCTTTGGTCTGATGGATGCCTGGAGACTGGTCAATGCTGCCAAGGTACTGTTACAGTAGTAACTCTGTCTTCCAGGGCTCCAAATTCATTTTTGGGAATAGGTGCACTGGTGCACAAAAATTGGGTGCACAAATTTTTGGGGTGGGTGCACCATATAAAATAGAAGTAGAATCTCAGCAACAAGTAATAATATGTTTCTAAAGAAAAATACTACCGCAAAGGTTTTCTTATTTATCTGACACTTAGATGTCAAAAATATGCTGTATATTTTAGTAAACGTTTAACATCTTTACATACATAAACCTATGAAAATATTTGGGTGCACCATGCGAGAAAAAGAAGGGTGCACAGTTCCAATTTTGGGTGCACCAAGTTGCACATGCACCCAGTATTTCAATAATGTTGAGCCATTAATTGTGACTTTATCTTCCTGATATAACAAATTTCATTTTCAATCTTTTATACATATCTGTCTGCCCATCAGTTTTCTCACAATCGTGCCATGATCTACAAAGTTGAATGTCATATTTTCTGTCCTCTGTACCTCAGGTTTGGGAGCCAGTCTCATGGTTGATGTCTCTCAACTCTCCTACCTTACAAGAGAACTATGTCTTCACAGGGGGCCACACTGTCAAGTTCTTGTACAACGGTGAGTTTCATATTAGCTTTTTGAGTGATGAGACTCTGCCCTAAAACACTGATGCTTACTTTATTTTAGAGTGTCTGTCAGAATTGGTAAAAATATACTCCCTAGGCCCATAATTATTATCCTGTTTATGCTGAGTGAGTGTGCTGTGATATTCAATTTTCTGGTGAACCCTTAGAATTCCAAAGCATATTGACATCTATGAGGCGAAAAATGTGATATCGCTGACGGAAAACAGTTGCTTATTTCGTATCATAGGCTGGTTGTAGCTATTTATAGTTGGTACCAAAAAATAACGGTAGCTTGTTTTGGGGCTATTTCGAATCCTTCAAGTAAGAAATGATGTCAAAAATGTGCTAAGAAATGGCAGTAAATGTCAATATCAGACAGATTTCCTCACCCAGAATATTTTTTGTATTGTCACCCTAAAATTACACGGTATGCCTTTAGTGATTACATTCCCCATCTCCACAGTGAGTAAAGAGGATGCAGATATCCACTTCCTGTACAGTCTGGAGTACGTGCTGGTGAAGGTGTCCATCTCCCACAGTTCCCGGGGGAACCTGGAGCTCAAGCTGGTCTGTCCCAGCGGCACCAAGTCTGTCATCGCAGCACCCAGGCATAAGGACAAGTGAGTGTCAAATCTGGGATGAATGACTGTTACCTCTGTGTAAAAAGTGGAGGTCTTGTTTTTGGTGTGTCTGTCTGTATTTCCAGATCATTGGGCCAGTTATCACATAAGAAGCTATGGATGGATTGTGACGGTTTTTGGTATGTGGGTAGGTCTTGGGAAAGCTCAAGGTCGATGATGGGGGTCCTAGCTGCTTTTATTATTACTGCGACAGTTTTTGTAACTTTTGTCATGGACATGCTATATTTTTGGTGACAGATAGCGTTTGATGTTATGAAGAAGTGGTGTAGATTTGGGCCCCCTAGTGGCTTGTTAATGTAGCTGTTTTTCATCACTAGTGTGTGTTGATCACATATTCAACATGTTGCCTCCTGATGAATTTCTTATATAGAATCTGATATACAGTCAAACCTGTCTATAGTGGTCACTCAAGGGACTGGCCAAATTTGCCCACTATGGACGGGTGACCACAATAGAGAAACGGCTGGTTTGTTGACTCCCCCCCCCTCCACACACACACACAAAAAAAGTGACAGTACCAATACAGATGTCTTTGTTTTCAAACAAATGAAAACATTCATTGCACAGCCCCTGAATGAAATCTGCTACAACAGTGAATCTGTGTTTTTTTTTTTCATGTCCAGGTCGAAAGATGGTATCAAAGAGTGGACCTTCTCCACTGTGCGCTGCTGGGGGGAGCCTGCTGTGGGCATCTGGGAACTTCTCATCACTGATTATGGCAAGATAACATAATTCTGTTCCGCTAGGCCTTGTCATACATAGCTAGCACATAAGCATAATATACTGCACTTGCACAAAATGCGGAATGTACTGTGTATGTTCAAATCTACAGAATGTATCATTTAAAACTAGTTAGTGTATTTAAGGATGACATCTCATCTATAGTTTTCAAAATATATTATGAAATAGACAAAATTCTGATAAAAAGATTTACCAAGAATCCAACGAAGACCATGTTTTCTTGCAGGTGCAGTAACAAAACAGTAGTCTGCTAGGCTAGGCTGTATGAAAGTAAACATGATGTAAACTCATTCTTTTCTAGAACTATCGCAGTGTGGAACTCGCTGACACCTAGTTCAGTATATACATTAGATAGCTTTAAACAATGTTTAGAGTTAGATTTTAGGTGTATCAAGTCATTCGTTGTAATGTAGCCAGCTGCTGCCGCGCCGCGTGCCTGCGAAGCTGGTGCGTTACACTGAAGCAAGGTTATACCAGCTAATAGCGAACAGTTACAAAGCAAATAGATGTACAGTATCTATTTGTATACATGTAAGTAAGTAAATATCTGTAGGTATAGTAGTTAGATATATCTGTATCTGTATACAGATACAGATATATCTATTTACTTTGTAACTGTTACCTTTATAATTCTCTGTAAATCTCTATGATAATAAAAGACTTTTTCAACTAAGATAAGAGGAAAATCCTTATTAAACCTGTACTGTCCCCTTTCCCCAGGAAATCCAGGTGAGGGTTGGGGTAAGCTGGAGAACTGGAAGCTGACTCTGTACGGGTCCTCTCTCACACCAGCAGACATACAGGCCAGACGGGAGTAAGTGTCTGATTTCTTAGTCAGTTTCTGTGTTCTTCTTTAGGCCACACTGACTTAGTTTCATGGATGACATCCTCTGAAGGCCCCCAAACTAGTGCATGCGGGTGAATTAAAAAAAAATCCAGCCAAAGAAAGCTGCTAAACCACAGGAATACATTTGTACTTGTATTGTGAATTTTCAGTTCCTATAGTACATAGTGACTTTTATGACAAGCACATGCTGCCTTTTGCAGCATTCTGCACTGTACTGAGTTCTGTGGAGCTTCAGCAGCCTTAGTACCATCCTCCGTAGTTACTGCCGACTCCCTATTGTCTCTAGCTACCATGGACTACGGAGGATGGCACCTAGGCCAGAGCCTTGGAGATCAGATTTTATTTTGAAAATTAATGGGCGTGCGGATGTCATCCATAAATTTAAATCAGTGTGGCCTTACATGTTTTTAGTGCTAAAACTAAAATCACTCAACTCATCATAACACTCACACAGTTCAGGAACATTATGCACAATTTGTTGCATAATGAGGTTTTGGATCTCAGATTTGTTGTTGTTTATTTCAGGATGGTGGAAGATGCCATGGACGGCAGGTTCCTCAACTCCAACCACTCAGCACCCTGCCCCCCTCCCGAACCACCGGCTTACGACGAGACTAAAGCAATACGAGTCAAGACACTGAAGGTGAACATAACTTTTTTCTGTTCTGTTTCCAACTATGACTTTGCAGGGTTCTCACCAAGATTTTTTCACAGCATATGGGTCAGGTACAGAAGGACAACTTTCAAGGCCCTATACTGGTTGAAAGACAGCATAGGGATCCAAATCACAGCATATGGGATCCAAATCACAGTGTAGGGGGCTTGGTGAGAACACTGCTTTGTTTGTTTGTTTGTATGCTTTATTAGGATCAGCTCAGCTTGGCCACATTGTGAGGGGTTGTAGTCATTTGGATGGTTACGTTAAGCTGGCAGCCCTGTATATGAAGAAGCTCGAGCCTCAAGCACCAAACCTCTGCACGTAAAAGAACCCAGCACACAGAGTAAGGTTGACCCAGTGAGGTTGGCTATAAACGTGATCTGTACATATAGGGAGTAGAACGCTCGGCTTGCATTCAGTAGGTCGTGAGTTCAATCCTTGGCCGAGCCAATACAATACCAAAGACTTAAGAAATGGTACATACTGCCTTCTCTGCTTAGCATTTGAGAAAGAGTAAGGGAGTAATATACAAACCACTACAAGTGAACTAGTCCCCTACTGTATTGCTTGCACATCTGTGTGGCCCAAGGGTTAAGAAATGGAGATGGGCCATATGCGACCATGCTAATGGTTGCGGGAAGGACTTTAACTTCTTTAACTTTTTACATTGAACTAATAGCTATAGCAATATGCTTCACCTTAGTTGAGGATGACTTCTTTACCGTACCTTCCCCTTTAGATCCTGGTGCTGACCGGTGGCTTTACCGTGCTGCTATCCCTGTACTACACTGTGGAGCAAGCCTTCCTCAACAAGGAGGACAAGGAGGGGATACCCCCTCCAATCAACCCCGCTCCGGAGGGGGGTCCCCGCGAGACAGACCGCCTCATACCCCCGCAGGACACAGCCGAGGACATACCTATGCAAACTCTCACAGAAACCGTTCCAGACGACACGGCGAGCACAGAAGAACCCGTACTAAGCAACGACCTAGCAGACAACAGTCTGGAACTAGAAAGGCAGCCTCTCTTATCTTCTCAACACGATGTACAGATCCAAGAGCTTCCAGGTACCACTACGGAAACTTCAGGCGGTGCCACATCTGAGACGTATCAAAACGAGATGTGGTCTGCAAGAGACGAGGGCGCACTCGGTGTGTCATGTCAAGAAAAGCAGCGTTCAGCATCAGATGATGCCGTGGTACTAGAGTTAGAGTCTAGTGAGACAGACTGGGAAGAACAGCCCCTGCTTGTGCCAGGAGACACATTTGTGGATGAGAAGGATTCAAATATGACTCAGCTGGAGGACTATACAGACAAATGCGTGCTTCCAATATCAGAACAAACCACAGTCGAACTGATGGTTGGACAAGAGCAGAGCAGGACTTCAGGCAGTTTAGTAGACAGGAGTGCAGAAGATACCTGTAGTTTATTAGAACAAAGTGCCAGACATTCTCTCTCTGATCCAAAGTCTTCCTCAAGCAATATCTCTTCGAAGATGTCTTAATGAAATGTAGATAGATTTGTATTAGGGATAAGGAATGGTACTTGACTACATTCCAAGATTTCTGCAATGTCTTCAGGTCCAAGGTGCTTCCTCTTCAGTAGATAACAGTCTTTATTTAGGGAGATACATCTTTATTTCCTGCTGCTATTGCTGGTCTGGGCCAGTATTAGACTTTGTAATGTGTCATTTAGGTTCCAGTTGATTTGAGTTTACCATGACATACATGTACGGTCAAACCTGTACAATGGACCACTTTCACATAACGACCACCTGGCCAATGTGACAACGTTTTGTTGGCTATAGTTAGATAATTTTCCCCATTAACACCAGCATAAAGATTCCTGTCTATACTGTGACCACCTGTCCACATGGACCAGATTTTATCAGTCCCCTGAGTGGTCTTCTTACACAGTTTTGATTTGACCGTACATGTACCGTAACTGCGTTTGATTTGTGGTGGTTATATTTCATGCTAGAAGGAAAAGGAAGGCCACTCACTCACCATTTTACATTCAATTTGGTGTGTTGAAACAATTCTACAATACAATTGGCAGTGTCATGGATTTGCAGTGGTGAGATCACCACCAGAAACAAACAAAAACAAACCACTGCGTTCACTGCATTCTTAGTTAGTACTACCATAGTATTTGGTATCATTGCCAAAAGAACCAGCCATACCATGTCAAAGATTTTCAGGATAATTGATAGAGTTACATTAATTTTTAAACATCGTCATTGAAACATCGCAATTTGTGCAATAGGGTATACTGTTTGCCTTACATTCAGTAGGTTATATGAGTTCGATTCCCAGCCGAGTCATACCAAAGACTTGAAAAATGGTACACAATGCTTTCTCTGCTTAGCACACAGCATTTTGAAAGAGTATGGGAGTTCAATACACAATACTACCAGTAGACTAGCTTCCTGCCGTAGTGCTTGCACTATTGTGTGGTATTGAAAGAACTATAACTAACGAATTGAAACACACTAGATGTGTCATGACTTAATGATAGTTGCTTTCACTATTCATACAGCTCTTAATTTCTAGAGCTTTACCAAAGGAAAACATATTGTTATGTTCACCGAAGGAAAACATATTGTTTTTACTCAGTTTCTTCCTCTTCTTCTCCAAACACTGACCTCTGACCTGGCCAATGACTTGATTTGTTGACGTCTGTCACCATGGTAACTGGTTTTTACTCAATTTCTTCCTCTTCTTCTCCAAACACTGATCTGGCAAATGACTTGATTTTTTGACGTCTGTCACCAATGGTAACTGGTGTTGGGTTACATAATGTTGCAATTTCATAGTAGGGGGGATTTAGACTCCTGTCACTATATATTTGTATATGTGAATGTGAGTAAGAATTAACAGAGCAGACCATATGCGAAGGTTAACATTATGCATTTGCTTCAGCCTTTCAGCAAATGTTACTTATCTAGTTTGAATTTACATTATAGTATTCACTGCCAAAGCATGAGGGCTTAGTAAGATGTTTAACAGCAAAAGCCATTCTTTTTAATTATAATTTATTGTGATCATGACAGCTATAGTATATAGCCCTATCTAGGCATGGTGCAATCATATATGGTGATGTTTGTTTTTTGGGTCAATATAAGTGATAGAATTTGAGCAGAATCTTTTATCATGATGTGAATTCAATTTGTAGAGAAAGGTGCAATAGTACAATAAGTAAGATAACTGCAAAATTTTCTTGTACAATTTTTGTTTTGCGATAGGTTTTTGTCACATGCTTTTAAGACTTTATGTGGTGCTACAGGGACATGTTATCCAATTGTTGATTTTTTTAATCTATACTTTATAATTAAGACAAATTAAGTTGTGAGGTAGTTATTCTCTCAAATACCTGTACTACCTCCAGTCTCTATGTTATATCTGTGCTATCTGATAACATGAAGACTTTAGTGTAATAATTTATCTCCAAGTAGATGTAAGGACCCAGCTCTTTCTATGTGTTTTACGCCAGTTTTTGGAACATGTAATACTCTTTTCTAGTATATTGCCATATCCAGTCTTAAATTCACATTCAAGTGTTGCCCATGATTGCATATCATTTTCCTTTTTGTAATTATTAGTTCTATCAAGATGATCTATCAACATCTAATCAAGCATCATACTACAGACTGTTACCATCACTGCGCTAACTCAAGTGAAGCACAAGCAGGTATGTAGCAATATCAATCATGAGCATACAAATAAAGCCAGTCTATTGATTCTCACACCATGTGTCTGATATCTCATATCTCACCCAAAACCATTCAGATGCCCAGTTGATCATATTCTCCACCAAAAGACAGTCTTATCCAATCAAAGAATGCATTTCTAGCATTTCCTCGTAAATTATGCAAATAAGGTCCTTATTTGGATAAGTCATTTTTAATGATGTTCACCTTCACTCAACTTTCAAATATGAAAGTATGAAATTCCAGGCACTTACCATCGTTGAACCATAACATTTCCTCATTAGATATGCAAATTAAGACTTAATTTACATAATCGATATCTGCCTGTGTTTCGTTCTCAATTACATATGCCACAAGCTTGAATAGTCCTATCATGTAATCCAGCTGATTTTTATAATTTCATCATAAATTATGCAAATTACATCCATATTTGCATAATTGTTACAATTATGTCAAGCATACCGAAAATCACGACGATCCATCAACCGGTTCTTGAGTTATGCAAACGCCCTGCAGTTCCAGAGCAAGCCGCTAGGGGTCCCAAACTCACGTACGGCGCCACTTCTTCCCCAGCACAAGAGCTACATATCATTCCAATTTTGTGACCCAACCATGTCCAGATCGTGAGATATCAAAACCGAAAGTTCAGCTGCCGTACCATAACAAGCCGCTAGGGGGGCCAAAATCTAATCATTTCCAGGTCTCATCAAGACCTACCCACCTACCAAATATCAAGTCAATCTATTTAAGCCTTCTCAAGTTATCGTGTTTATAGACACACAGGCACACACACGAACGCCTGTGAAAACATAACCTTCTTGGCGAAGGTTACTCGCCTACTAATAAACGGGACAGGAAATGAGATAACCTTTTCTGGGACCATTGACCTAACTTCCTGTCCCGACGTGTGAAATAGCTACGGAAAGACAAGCAAACAGAAACATACACACACACCGTACACGTATGTAAAAAAACACTTATATTATCGCTATCACCTGCTCAGAAAATCCTCAATACATTGCGTTGTTGTTCCACCTGTGATATACAATGGGACGTGGGAATTGTAACAGCTGCAGTAGAAGGATAAAGCGCTGAACAACCCTCTACAAACCGTGCCCTGGACATACACATACTTCTAAAGATTGATCACTTGTTTCCTACTCTTGTCGATTGACACAGGTGGAAATAAGCACGGTTTTATGACTTTGAAGTGCCGAGGAGTATACAGTACAGTGCCTGTGTGTATATTTGATGCGCATTTTGGTTGTTCTGATATTTTAAACTGCACACTCGAAATGACATGTTTATCTATTAACTAGTTAGGGGTTTTGTACATACTTCTGTGGAAAAATTTATTTTTGTGTTTGTTTTTCTGGTTACTTGCATTTATACAAGTACAATTTTCTGTTTGTTCTTTTTTTATTAATATTTAAAACAAATTTCAAAAAACATATTTCAAAAACTGTTTAGATTCCAAAAATCAATTGATATTCTTGGGCAAGTATTTTCTTTCTAAACGAATCTTCGAAAAAAAATGCACTCTATCTTAGAGACCCGACATGGCATATCACAGAACTAGCCAACAGATTTTATGATAAATTGTATGAACACGAAATTTCTTTGACAACCAATATTCATAAAACATATTTCGGGAGATGACGAAAGACCATGTATTTCATAACGTGTTCGATTATATTGATCGGAGTCAGTACTACATAGATTAAATTTTCAGATCCAATACATCGTGTTATGAATGATGTCAGGAAAAACAAGAGCAGCCGTTACTTTGTGTTATTATGGCAATATAGCAAAGCAGCTGTACACGTCAGACTGTGGGCGGTAGTAAGGTCACCTAAGGCCACAGCAAGTAAATTCTATGGATGACATCATCCACAGACTTCAAATCTAATGCGATAGGACGAAAAAAAACAAGATTCCTGCATTTTCACATTTTAGCATCATAAACCCTGTTAGACAAGAAACGATGCCTAGATTGCGCTAAGTTTACTTTTACAGCATCCATTTGTCACTGAAACAACTTTGAAAAATAAAAGTTTTCAATAATTGTACAAATGGTTTTGATTCAGTGGGAATATAGAAAAGGAACGAAATACATCACTGCATCAAAGTTAAATTCAAAACAATAAATCAGAGCCTTGTCTTGTCTCCTCTCTTCATATTCATGTCATCCACGTTCCGACATGGAAAGGCATGCGATTTTGCCCATTTTATTTTCGGCATGTTGACCACTGTCAGAATTTCTTGTTTTATTTTTCCAAGATAAGGCAAAAATTAATGAGCGCGTCGATGTCATCCATAAAAATAACTTGCCGTGGCCTAATATAAACGATAAATGACGGTAGACATCCATTCACTCAGCCGGAAGCGGTCTATCTTGTTTTGCCGGGCTGTATATAACGTAATCTTACCTTCTTAGGGAGATGGTTTCTTTTTGCTCAATTTACGTAATTGTGGAGCCGTAATCAGCTAGAGAGCCCCTAATAATGGCACTGCCGATTGGTTGTAATTGGACAAGATAAGCGGGTCCGGAGAGAAGGGCGGTCGTACGCGTGGCAGTAATTGGGGCCTTTAGTCAGGGGAGCGTGGCTTGAAGTGTTGATATTTCCTCCGCGGGTGTTCTGTGAACGCCACGGTAGTAGATCGATTGCACTTCGGGACCAGATGGGGTAACACTAGTCACGATAATCATGGACATATAGAAATCACTCAGACAGCCGCACAGAGAGAGATTGCGTTTACCAGAACATGCTGTGTGGAATTGGGGGCGGCTCATCCCGTAGCCTTATCTTCTGTAAGGCTTAGAGAGTATTTGCTCGTACAGCAGTGTGCAGGATAATATCCGGGTCGCGACCTACACCGCATACGGGGCAGGCTACATCACCACGCCGGCTGGGTGGCTTGTGGAGAGGGCCCTTGATGTGCGACCTGCCCTGACGAGCTTGCGCAGGCGTCACCGGGAACATCTATTGTCCCAGCTCTGACGTAGGTAAACAGGTGGTTTCCGCTTGGCCAGGTTTCTCTCTTTTCAAATATCTCCAGAAAAAAAAGCCCGCCGTGTTATACCTGCTTGTATGCACTGGGCGATTGCTTGGACATAGTTCAGATAGTGGAACGGCCATTGACCCAATATTTGAATACAGTTTCATGACCCGTGTCTGGGCTGGTAGGGCGTTGCTTGTCTTGGTTGATGATTTTGGACAGATAGGTCGACAGGAAGTGTGTATGTTATGTGATCCGTTTTTCTGAGAAAAAGTCTTTTTTATCTTGTCACAATCAGGTGGGTCGGTGCAGTCTTGCTTGTCGAGTGTCTCACGTACTCAGAGACTCAGTCATCGCGGATCAGTGTTGTGTCACGTTTTGTGTCAGAAGTCAAACGATCTGTCTCCCCTTAGCTTCATACGTTAGCATGTTACCTTTGCCGCCCACGCTGAGAACACGGTAACAAAAGACCAGCCGTGCAGCACATGTTCCCACAGGGACGGGCTGTCTAGCAAATGAGGCCACTGCCGATCTCACCTCGGGCGGTAGCGAGTGTTTTATCTCTCTCCTGAACACAGCGGCGGTGGCGTGTGGGGTCGGCCGGGCGACAGGTGTCGTCTGCGGCTAGGGGAAAGTCATGGCCACGAAAGACGCGTCGACCCCGGCTAGCGCTTCGGGCGCGGCGGCCTTGGAGAGCAGCACGGACACAGACGAGGACGACTCACCTCAGCACAGCTGCTCTCTCACCGCCACTACAACAAGCAACCCCGGCAAGCGATGGGGCAGGAGGCGGCAGTCTTACACCGAGCAGAAACGGAAAAAACAACAGCAACAGCAACACGACAAGCACAAGTGCATGGAGGGAGACATCGAGCTGTTTCGCGGAATGAAGAAAATGTGCTTAAAGAGGAGGTCGATGAAAAAACGCAGCCCACAGGTAAGTGTACACTATCCTGAACCTTTATTATAAACTTGGTCCAACTAGGCTGGATGCCAGACCCGTAACACGAGGCCCTGAGTTAGAATCAGGGTCTAACCGAGGGGGCTGTGGTATAATTTCCTTGGGGCATGTTGGCCTTGAATCCAAGGAACTAGCCTGTGTAGACCCTGGAAACTGGCACCCAGAGGCTAAACAAAAACAAACCCTGGACAGACGCTCGTCCCTTTTCAGAAGGTGCCATGTTAAAAACGTTAACTCTTGAGGTGCATACGTCACCTAACCCTTTCACCCCTGAAACCGCCCCAGCCAGTCTGGTATTTTTCTGTGTAGGAAGCACCTGGTTCTTAAGAACGACCCTTACCCAATTATCCCTATTTAATCCCGCCCCTGCCATGTCTTGTCACGTTGATAAACACAACTGGCACACACAAGAGGCGACCTCATTTCGATCGATAATGTTGAATGTAAGGATTATTATAATTATTTCCTTCCGTCCAATCATCACAGGTGAGGCGGTGCCGTGAAGCCTGCACCTGCCCGGTCCACAACATCCAGCCCAGCGGGGCGTTCTGGATCGAGTGCTCGGGACGCGAGGGCACTTCGCCCGAGGAGACGTGTGACCGCGACGCGGACCCAAACTCGGTCCCTGACGCGAAGACAGCGTTTGCCTTAGAGCCGACGGAAGAAGAGCAGTATAGAGAACACCTGTACGGGAAACAGCACTGGATTTACTACGCGTCTGATGCGGATATCGGACCGGTTGTACTCGCTCTCCGACCGGAGCAGGGACATGAGAGAGAAACCATTCGGTATGTCGGATGTACAACTGGTCTCCACCTTAGGCCATGTTGATTTGATTATATGGATGACATCCTCTGGGAACTCCAAAACTGATGCGAGCGTGCGAATAAAAAAGTTTCGCAAAAAAAGTTGCTTTCATTATGACATCTACGTGGTAATGACCAAATGACACAGGGTATGGTATGGCGAATAATCTACTCTTCAAATTCATTTCTTTACATTATCATCTTTTTCGTTTGATTTTGGCATTCCACGACATTGGTATCGTTTTCAAATATTTATTTTTGCAACTTACGGTATCCAATATTTTGCAACTGTTTTGTACGATTTACAGTATGGTTGAAAACTTTTTTTTTTGAAACGGCCGAAAATTCATGCGCGCGCGGACGCCATCCATATAATCAAATCAACATGGCCTTACTAACAACGTAGGTTCAAAAACAGTCAAATTTAGGCAAAAAGGGAGAATAATTGGCCAGCGAAATTTGTTAAAGTTAATTTTCCCTTTAGAGGGGGGGGTGAAACACGAAAGGTAGACCCACAATTATGGCTAGCCTCTAACAGGCTTTCGGAAGCGGTAAGAAAGTGTAGAATGATTGGCGAAATAGACAGATAACATACCGGAATAGTTGGTCCGCTAAGAAGTACATTACCGGATCAACTTATGTTTCAATACATGTATCTCTCTAATAGCCTGATAGAGGCTTTCCACTGGCCAGTCAGACCATATTTTTGCCGGTCTTCTCGCTAGCCTAACGGCCGTAGGAAGGCCTGGTGGAAGCTAGGAAATAGATGACTTCAGAGTCTGTTTAGAACAGGTAGTTGATGTATAGCGGTCTATGGCGCAGCTGTCTCAAGCCTGATTAGCTGGGCCCTGACCACGCACCGGCGGATCCCAAGTGTAGGATGTCATTTCATATAGATCGGCCCGTGTCTGAGTGCCATCCTTCGTATTTTTAGGAAGCGAGTATGGGAGCCCTGGTTTTCAAGTAGGATGGTACCCAGGCTACCCTCTTTTGATATCGTCTCGTAACCGTTTTTAAGAACGGTGACTTCGATGTTTAAACTTTTAGAAAGCCAACTGCCCGTCAATTCAATTTTCCAAAGATGTAACAAAAATTCAAACACAAGAGAAAGAATTTCTTAGGAAAATCAACAGTTTTACGTTATAATATACGTTAAACTTCGAAAGATCCAGATGACGATTTTTTTTGTGTGTGTGGGGGGGTGTATGTTCTGGTGTAGTACACAGAAAATTCAGACAAGTTCATAGGAAAATAGGGATTTTTTGAGTGTTGTAAACAAGGTGACGGCAGTACAATGTGCATAGAAGTGATTAATGATACACGAAACAGGTGACGAAAGTCCATTGAAGCGTCATATTTCAGCTTTATCCTACTGACATGTACGTGGTGGCACATGGTCTGAAGTGACAACAAGTGTGAGGTGTCGGTTGCTATATGAGGATGCCAATTAGCTGACATATTACAAATTCTGAGGCATTGATAGAATGTATGTTCATGACCAGGCTGCCGAACGCGTAACAAGTGAAAAGTACTGTTGTTGAAAAGTTGTAGTTACTGCCTTGACACTGTCCCTCAGCAATTCTCCATCAGTTATTGTTTGTTTGTTTGTTTGTTGTGTTTACCTTCGCAGAAGGAAACCATTGTTTTGCCCCGTTTCTCTTCTTCCTCTTCATCCGTTCCAAAAAAATAAGGTCAATGACCTCGACCAGACGGCTGTCACCATGGTAACTGCTGCTGTAGCAGATATGAGACACCCTGTGGCGTTGGGTCACATTATGTAGCAAGTTGCAGGCCACCATACATGTATACATATGAATGATTTGGAGTAAGAATAAATAAAACAGTAGTTTGATGATCTAGACCAAGTGAAGGTAAACGTTATGCATTTGCTTTGCAAATGTTACCTTTCTAGTTTTGTCTTTACTGGTTATGATACATGTCGTTACTTTTGTACTGGAGTACTACTAAGCCTCATACTTGCTTTATCTTTCCCCTCCAGAGTGCAGGTCCGTACGAGTGCCCAGGCGCTGGTCGGGCTGGTGCCGTTCTCGGCCCTGTGTGCGGACAGGTACGACGCGGACCGCCTCGCCGCGGCCCTGGGGGAGGAGATGGGGGTGACCGGGCTGCACAGCGTCAACCATCCGCTGGCGCCGGAGCAGCTCGTCAGGCTGGACGATGTGAGTTTGTCACCTCCATGAAAAATGGAAGTATTGCTTTTGGTCTGCGTGTGTGTGTATGTGTGTCTTTCTCTGTGTGTGTTTCAGCATATTTGTGGTCACGCATAACATAAGAAGACCTTAATGGATTGTAATGAAATTTGGTATGTGGGTTGGTCTTGGAAATACAGTTCGAGGTCAGTGTTCAAGTTCAAGGTCAAATTTGGACCTCCTGGTGGCTGACCTTGGTACTGCAGCAGAGCGTCCGGTTTGGTTTGGTTTGTTTCGCATTACCGGTAAACCTCCTTTCTAAAAGCGTAACTCACCAGTTTTACACCATAAGCACAAGCTGTGCAAGACCGGACTGTAAGGTTTGAACCACTCTCACCGAGAAGGACCTATACTCTTACCAATAAGTGTGGTGGGTTCTTTAGCGCACTGGTGGTCTGGCTCTCCTAAAAAAAAACGAGGCCTCTGGCTTTATGATGTCCTATCCGATAGAGCGTCCCTTACCGAAGCTAGGTCCTCATCATTTTCATCTGCAGCTGACTCGAGTACATACTAGTATACTGTAGATGTAGTAAATTATAGTGACTTGTATCACTGTTATTGTACGTAGATACTTTATTACCATGACCTGTACGTATCTTGTAAGGGCACAGATGTACAATAAATGTGTTTGATTCAAATATTTTAGGAGTTGGAGAAGACAGACTTCAAAGTGGGCGTTCTGTACGTGAAGGAAGGACAGACCACCGAGGAGGAAATCTTCGCCAACACCTGCAGTAGCGAACTGTTTGACGAGTTCCTGGGAAACCTCGGAGAACGGGTCAACCTGAAAGGTGAACGATTTATGACGAAAAGCACTCACTGAGGGGCATTGACCCAGATTAATGCTGTGATATTATGTGTTGTTTATGGTGGGTTTATTTGTACAACCTGTGGTGGTCACATCGTTAGACCAACTTGGGAGCTTTTATCACATGAAAGCTCCTTGGTTAGACGAGTGCAATGTATCGTATGTAATATGTTACGGTGCTAGCTGTATCTGATAAATTCTACAACTTCCAACAGGTAACGTTGTCGTGTTAGGAAGGCAACACAAAATAAAAATCCTCCAACCGTTCCATTTCAACTTTGATCATTTTATTGATTTGTATTGTAATTATATTGTATTGCTTAATTATGTATTGATTGAATTTGTATGTACTTTGTATGTTTTATTGCTATTGTAAATATTGAATTGAATTTGTATGTACTAAGTGATATTGTATTTAAGTTATACTGTACTTTGTATTTATGCATTTATGTGTCAGTGGTAGCCGCTACCAGCCTTGTTGCTGCCTGGTTGCCACTTGTTATGCACTGTTGCATTTAAATAAACAAACAAACAAACAAACAAACAAACACTTCTTTGCTAGCTGGTTGGATGATTGGTTGGATGGTTGGTTGGTTGGTTGGTTGGTTGGTTGGTTGGTGCAACGGTTGGCTGTTTGTTTGTTTGTTTGTTTGTTTGTTTGTTTGGTTGGTTGCTTGGTTGCTTGGTTGTTATGTTGGTTGGTTAGTTGGTTGCTTTGTTGGTTGTTTTGTTGGGTTACATTACCACCACATGGAGGAAAACCATGCAGACGTCAAGAGGGAAAGACCGGCCGGATGAAACAGAATATTATAAAATATCTCTTCTCTATTAGATATAGCTAATGATACATTACAATTGTGCATCTAAGCCCAGTCTTATTAGCATTAGTACCAAGTCACCAAGATGACCAATTATATGAGCCACACGTCGTCATCACATTCACACCACCCAATCAGCTATCTTTCCGCCTTTTTTTTTAAAACATTTCTTGTTTGTCAGGCTTCGATGGTTACTGTGGCGGACTGGACAGGTCGGGTGATCTGACCGGTGAGACGTCTGTGTACACGGAGTGGCGAGGTCTCCGTCTGATGTTCCACGTCTGCACACTCCTGCCGCACGACCCTGCCGACAGTCAACAGGTACGCAAACACCTCGGAGAAAACCGTGCATCATCAACAAAGTTAACAGTACACATATCGGTTACAACTCTCATCCAAACTTGTTCCAAGATCCCTGTTCCAAAAAAGGAGGACCGAGAAAAAAAGCTAAATTTAGAAAGAACCTAATTTGCTTCCGAAAATGATGAACCGGGGCGAGGAGGGATACAAACTCAGCCACGTTTTGGGTTGTTTATCGTCGCAAAAGCGCCACCTACATTGGCTATATATCATGACTTCAGTCAGAAGCTACTAAGTATTAGGAAGATGTCTGATAGGCATCGAAACGTAAGCAGGTAGGAGTGTCAATTGATTGTGTAAAAGTAAACTCCAATATCGAAATTAAATTTTGTTTCTTTCTCAGTCCTCGCTTGTGGTTTTGTAGAAGGAAAAGCCTAAGGGCGTTTTCATTTCTTTATATTCAAATCCAAATGTATATCAACAAAACAGGAAATATTAACCCTCACAAAATCAGTAAACGTCGTTTTCATTGGTTTGTTTTCCATTCCTTACGTGGCTCCTGATAGGTCCAGAGGAAGAGGCATATCGGGAATGACCTGGTGTGTGTGGTGTTTCTGGCGGCCACGCGAACCAGTTTCAACCCGTCCGTCATCCAGTCTCACTTCCTCCACACCTACATCGTGGTGCAGGCAGACCCTGAACAGCGGCCGCCGCAGTATAAAGTAAGCAACATCGTTCTAAAATATATATTTGTTAAAGGTTCCCAATGAAGTTTCAGAGCTTGAAAACGGGTTTTCCAAGTCAATATTCTAGTCACTACTTATTATGTCTACCAAAGGAAAACAGTTTTTGCTCTGTTTCCTCTTCTTTTCCAAACCAAAAAGGTCAACGCTACCTTGCTTGTTTTCATCAAACAACAATGAATGCAGATTAGGCGAATCGTAATCGGGCACGGTTTGAAAGGAACGTACGTGTGGCACGTGGACCAGATGTGAGGAATGCGAGTTACCCGAATCGCGGTTCGGGCGGTTTCATGTGAACAAGGCCTAAATTGAGCTATGCACATACCTGCCTAAATGACAACATCGTTTCTCCTTTCTGATCCAACAGGTGTCAGTGGTGTCCCGGAATGAAGTGTCACCGTACGGACCTCCCCTGACTGAAAGGCACATCTTTAGTAGCGTGAGTTGTAGCCTTTGCTTCTCAACTTTGAAGGCATGTGGTTGGAAATATCAGTATCTTTTTGCCTGTCCCTTGTCCGTAGTTTATGTCAAAGCAAGGACATTATACAGAAGCAAAGTTAAGTTATGTTCGGTGCTACCTCTGGAGCAAATTGTATCTAATGAACATCATAGTTTTAGAACTTGAGGAATCATCATCAAATGTAGCCTCTACCAGGCTTCAGAGGTGGCTGGAAAGTGTAGCAATCGGCCAAAAAGAGAGATACCATGCCAGGGGAGTTGGTCCTAAAGGAGTGCGGTAAGCGGCAAACTGTACTCCGAAGAAAGCCTGTTTAAAGGCTAAACCTAATCAACATTGCACGTATTTGTACGATTATATCTTTTCCTTCGATACTGATTGCTGAACAAGTTACTGTAAGAATTGCCCAGTGCGTGTCATAGTAGTGTTTTCGTATTTACAGGACTCCACATTCAGAGAGTGGCTATTGACAAAGATCGTGAACGGCGAGAGGGCGTGTTACTCCAGTCCCAAACTGGCCTCTATGCGGGTATGCATGTTGATTCCTAGCTCATCTGCACCGATAGATGCACAGTAAATATAAGAAAAGCACTCTGCCACGCAAATGTGTAGATATGTGTAAATATTGTACATTTGGGAATGCAGATATAGCAGCGACACCTGTGCTGCAGTGCAATGTGAACTAGTGAGAATTGCCCTGAGGAAGGTGACAGACTGTCACTGAAACGTCGGCTGAATAATAGACTTGGTTGCGCAGAAAGAGTCTCTTTACTAAAAAAACACTAGTTTACTTCTGTCGCTCAAATCTATCAGTGGCCAATAACAGAGAATATGAATTGGCATGTTCATTTGTGTCATAACAAAACTGCATGGACAAAGTTTTTTTAACACAAGAATAACAAAGTGAACGATTTTCCATAGTGATAATTTCTGAGTTACGTCGATGAAGCTTAGACATCCAGTTAATAAGATACACAAAAAAACTGTTACTCAAGCAGAAAGATTTTGAAAACTACTTGAAACGTCTAACAGATTTCGAAATCTATATATCCAGTTGCGTGTTTGAGTAACAGTTTTCTTGATAATCTGGTTATACTTGCTTAATCATTAGAATTAGGTCTCATATATAATCAAGCAAGAAAGCAAGTCACTCCCTAGGCCCCGTAGAAATTATTGTTGAAAATTTGAAATGAAGACGGGGCGCTCATTTTACGCTGTGATTTGGGATTCTTGGAAGGAGCTTGGTTAATAATTGTCTGTAGGCGGATAGTGTGCATATCAGACCACAGTTACTGTCGAGTCGAGACGTCATTCACGTAACGAACGCGGTGTATCAAAATTCGTGTCATCATTGAGAAGTGTCAGTAAGACTTATCAGTTGCGGTTTCGGACGATAGAAGGCCATGTTGATTTGATAATATGGATGGCGTCCTCTGGGATCCCCAAAACTGATGCGAGCGTGCGTTGCCTTCATTTAAAATCTACGTGGTCATGAAGGTTGAACAAATTACTAAACACACAGAGTAATTATTATTCATTTGTCTTCATTTGTTTAACATTCATGACGGTATATTTTTTTTTGGCATGGTGAATAGACTCTTCATTTTACCTTCACACTTTCTTCGTGTCTTTTGCAATGGATTTTGGCATTCTGTGACATAAGTATCGTTTTCCTTTTTTCAATTTACGGCGTACATGTGCTTATTTTGCAGCTACTTTTGTACGATTTACAGATATTTTTTGGAAACGGACGAAAATTCATGCGCGGGCGATGTCATCCATATAATCAAATCAACATGGCCTAACGATACACCATATCCCAACGCCTATCAGTAACATGTGAAGGATCGTGTGTGTTGGCTCAGGAGTCACGTTTCTTCTCTTCCAGGAACGCACCAGACGACACCTGCTGGAGGAGCTGGTCAGGGACTTCTCGGAACAGAACGAGATCATGAAGCAAGGGAACCCTCTCTTCGGAAATCGCAAGTGAGAATATTCAATTTTCACGAAAACACTCCATGTAAACACACCGTCCAAGCTACGTGTATTACATCAGCATGTTGTCGGGATCTCAAAGCTTCGAAGGGGCAGTCCTCACTGATGTGGTGGATTTGCTTCTTCGGAATATACTCCAGTTATTGAGTCATCATAATGAAGTTTAGCATCGTGGGTGACCTGGTGTCTTTTTTTTTTAAAAAGCAGAACAATATTTCTTATTTTTTATTTTATTTTTTATTAAAGCACATAAAAGAAAATACAATACTGCGATGGCAGCAAACTCAAGTTAATTACACTTATACATTATAAAGCGCCGCCGTCGAACATAAAGAAAGTTAACAAAGATATAATACTACATAAAAATAGCACAGAAATGTACACAAACAGACAGTAGAAAGCAGGGATATTATGGACAAATTTGATAATAACAATATTGAATGCAGCAATGAATGAATGAGACCTTAATCGTGCATACATGTACATGTACATGTACATACACACTAGGTTAGATACATGACACAAGAAAACAATAGTATTGTAGATGACTTGGTTTCTTTTTGTTCCTAATCTTTGAAACACGATCTGGTTGTCACAGGGTTGCTAACACAAACCGTCTTCACTTGTACTCGGGTTTTCAGGGCGTCGCCCGGATATATAATGTAGTTCCCTCCAATACACCGTTAGGCCACATCAAGTAAATTTTATGGATGACATCCTCCGCAGACTCCAAATCTTATGCGAGCAGGCGAAAAAACAAGACAGGCCGAAAAAAACAAGGTTCCTACATTTTAAAATTTTGACTCAATCATTGTACAAATGGTTTTGATTCAGTTGGAACATCACATATACACAGCCAGCATCACATATCACTGCATCAAAGTAAGAAACAAAACATTAATTCAGAGCCTTTTCTTGTCTCCTCTCTTCATAGTTATCTGCCATCCACCTTCCGGCATGGCAGCAGACATCTTTGCCCGTTTTCGGCATGTTTACCATTGTCAGAAGGCAACAAAATTTCTTGTTTTCTTTTCCCCAAAATCAGGTGAAAATTAATGCGCGCGCTGATGTCATCCATTAATATTACTTGCTGTGGCCTTAGGTACACAACACTAGGCATGACAGTACCATGGCAACAGTTTCCAATCCTCCCCCCCCCCCGCCTTTTGTTCCCGTCAGTAGATCCACGCTGCTGCCGGACAGTGTACAGCAGGACGTGCGGAAGGTGGACGAGCTCAGCACCGACTTCGCCACGGCCTTCTCCGCCAACATGGCCGGCGTGTGTGACGTCACGTTCATAGTCGGTACGTTCGTTTCAGTTTGTTTTTTCATATTTCATACACTATAAAGCGCTGTTACAGTACAAAAATTTATATTCCTAATGAAACCAGACAAGCCTTCAGTCAAAAAAACAAATTAAATTCAAATATCTTATCGATGATTTCTGTTCTTTCAGCTGTACTAGTACTAGTAGTAAACTTATATTGTACTTGTACTATAATAGAAAAGCAGTATTAAAGTTGAAAGCACTGTTTTGTTAATCAAATTAAAAGTTTTGTTGTCACCTGTACTTAACCCAGTGTGGCGAAAACTTGAAATAAAGGTCGTCATTCATTCATTATATAGGGATATATAATGTCCTGAATTTCAGACATTTTTGTTGTTAATTTTCTGAGGAAATGAGTAGACTAAGATAAGTTTACAGGGATATCGTTTTCTCTGGAAAAATACACGCTTTGATTCAATAGACCAGCCCATATTACAGGGTACAGATTAATTAAGTTCGCACGTCCACGACCTTACCCCGAATTTGTTCCCGAACCCTAGCCGACCAGGTTCGCTGTCGTTCGGAAACACTTTTACCAGATGTAGGCTACGCCTACATTTCTGGTGTTCTGCTAGCTTACAGCGCTACCCGAACACTAGCCAACCATGATCAAACCTCCCGACCGCTCCCCGAATATTTTTAATGTTTTTAAACATTCGGATGATGCAGCCGAATAGCAGTTGAATTCGCCGAACGCCAGCCGACTTTGCACCGACCTACACATACGCCTAACCTTGGTTGGGGGCGTTCTGCTAGTGTTTGGGAGGCCAAATTCGTGAATGTGTGACAGGGGCTTAAACCCAGTGACTCATGCCCGACCCAGATGACAACTTAAAAAATACAGTGTCTGTTGTAACAGTTTTGTCTTCATCTTGCTGTCTATCTGTCGGTATAATGAGCTCCATAATCATATTATTTTCATCGATAATTAGGTCAGGAGCGAGCCCGCGTCCACGGAGTTCGAGCTATCCTGGTTCTCAGAAACAGGTATTGTCACGATTTTAGTTTATGCGCTTGTTTCTTTTAGGCCACACTGATTTAATATTATGGATGACATCCGCGCGCGTTTTTCGTCTGTTCTTAAAAAATACATTCGACGCTCAAGCCTGAGCTGAGTGCCATCCTCTGTAGTCCATGGTAGCTAAAGAAAATTATAAAATAGGGAGCAGGCAGTAACTACGGAGGACGGCACCCAGGCTGCCCAGGCCCCAGAACTCAGTACAGTGCCGACTCATAAATGCCACAAAAGGTCGTAAAATAGATAAGTACTGCAGCAATTTCGTAAAATAGATAAGTACTTCAGCAAATTCGCAATACAAGCTTTGTATTCCTGTGGTTTTAGAAGCATTTTTTGGCTGGATTTTTCATTCGTCCTCTTGCATTAGTTTTGGGGTCTTCCTAGCACGTCATCCATAAAATTAAGTAGGTGTGGCCTTATCCAGTTTCTCCAAACACTACTTTTGCCTGTAATCGCTTTATATTGATTGTTTCCGGTTCTTATTTGGATTACCGGTAATCAACTTAGGAACAAAATGCATATCATAGCTGATTGTTTTATTGTTTTATTACCATCGTCAAGAAGGTTACGTTTTCGTTTTGACCATGGCGGAGTGGCTGTGGTGTGGATCTGCATCAACAGCATAAGTCGAACAGCTGTGAATGGATCCTCATGATATTTAGTAGGCGAGTAAAGGTTGTGAAAACGAAGGTCAAGTTCGAAAATGATTCTTGCGTTCCAACGGTACTGCAGCGTAGTTTTATGCAATTGTTGTTTTTATGTGTATACAACATAACCCCAGAAGCTGTGGATATTTCATGATATTTGGTAGCTGGTATTCTAGTCAAAATTCTTCCCATCTAACAACTAAGTTGTGATCATTCATGAAGTTCAATCATTAGCTTTATTAGCAAGCAGTTATTTGCCTTCAATATCGAATAATCGACAATATAATAAATTCGTCTAACTTTACTGGATCAACTTCATTCTAAGAAATGTTTAAGTTAACGTTAAACAATCTGAATCTGATTTTGGCTCAGAAATTTATGCTAATGGCGAGATGGCTTTTTAGAATCACTATTCCCTTTACTTTATCATTGACCCATGTGTTGTACCATGCACATGTGCATGCATGCGTTGTGGGGGCGAACATATGTATGTATTGTTCCATTTCCGCCACCTTTATAATTGTCTATTAGAGCAAGGACACTTTTAGTATAATGTCCCTGATAAGAGGGAAATGCAGTATAAAGAATTGTTTAGTTATACCGAATCCTTGGATATACAGATCTAATTCTGGTTTTGTCTCAGAATTTTCGATCTTCTAGGTATGATTACTTCTTTCAGACTAACTATTAATCTTATCATTGATCCATTTGTATCTAGTTATTTATCGAGATTTACTACATTTGTGGAAGGGTTGACATAGCAGGTGACTATCACATCTTCAAGATGTCAACACTCAGTCCAGACTGTAAGGTTTGAACCACTCACACCGGGAAGGTCCCCTGCTCTTTTCAATAAGTGTGGTGGGATCTTGAACGTGCTCGAGGTGTGTCTCTCCCAAACACGGGACCTCCGGCTTTACGTCCTATCCGAGAGGACGTCCCTCACCGAAGTTACTAGTGGCACTGACCCATTATGTTTTATCAAGGGCATTATATGTATAATGTCCTTGGTCCTGTGTTGTAACATGCACATGTGCATACATGTGGTGTGGGGGCGAACGTGTGTATGTGTATGTGTTGTTCTATTTCTACCACTTCTAGTTAATTACATTGAACTGTATTGGTCTGACCACTTTCCTAAATTTGCACTCTACTTTTCATTTATGTTTGCTGCCTCCAATTATGATTCAATCAATGCTATTGTTATTGATAATTTACAACCATAGTCCTAATAATGGCAGTACAAAACGCAATAGAATAAAGCTTGAGCTCATTTCTAACATGCCCAGGCAAGTGTAGTCTCTGATTTTATGTATCTGACAATTATCATAATCATAACTGAAATAGAAACATAATGTTGACCACAGCTTTTGATCAAAGTGCTCACCATATCCAAATTGGTGCATTTATGACTAGATAAAACAACTATGTATTACAATCATGATTAAAATTAACGATAGGACCTTTTTGATCCAAAGCTAATAATGCACAAACAAATTTAGCATCTGTGACTTAACTTGAATGATGTATGACGTCTTCTGTCGGATCAGTAGCCGTCAGATCCTCTTTATACAGCACTGACTGGCGATGTCCGCTTGTCTGACACTGAGTCTGTCCATTAGGTGGGCTGTACGCTGAACCAGCGCTGTGCTTGTTTGCTTGCGGGCCTCTCTTGCCCTGTATTCCAGCCTCTTATGGACTCTCATTCTTATTCTCGCCGTCCTTTACCCAAGGACAATCGTCGTCTCATTTCGGATCCCCTTCTTCCTCTTCATCTTCCAAGTTTGATTTTATGTCTTCATTATCGGACAGTGATTGAACACCTTATTGTTTGACGCTTGTTTCCTCGCAAGAACTATTTTCCTGCGGAGTTAAATTTGCTTCGGCACGGCTTCTTGTAGCTTGTGGTGAGTCAGGGTAGCCGACTGCGTACGGCTGGGCCTCATCAAGGCTTGCCTGTGCATGGGACTGAAGCTGTGGTCCAGGCTGGTCATCATAGGCCACTGCATACGGCTGAATGGTACCGTTGTCTTCTGTGGTATTGTTGCGATCAGGACATCCGCTTGTGATTGAGTTTCTGTCGTGTCCTCCCGGTTCGGCCGAGTCATCATAGGCCACTGCGTATGGCTGAATTTTATAGTTGTCTTCTGTGGTCTTGTTAGAAGTAGGGGGGATGGGTCGTCTGCTTGTGGTCGAGTTTATGTTTTGTCCTCCCGGTTCAGCCGAGTCATCATAGGCCACTGCATATGGCTGAATTGTATAGTTGTCTTCTGTGGTCTTGTTAGAAGTAGGGGGGATGGGTCGTCTGCTTGTGGTCGAGTTTATGTTTTGTCCTCCCGGTTCAGCCGAGTCACCATAGGCCACAGCATATGGCTGAATTGCATAGTTGTCTTCTGTGGTCTTGTTACCAGCAGGACGTCCGCTTGTGGTTGAGTTTCTGTCTTGTTCTTCCATTTCAGCCGAGTCGGCGGCATACGCCACTGCGTACGGCTCGATATTATCGGCCTCTGCTGTCCTTGAGGATGTAGCTTCTTCGTCACTTTCCCTTGGTGCGTCCTGTTGAGGCAAATCTGTACCACGACAAAACTTGATGATGAGGAGGATAACGGTTATTAAGAGGGAAGGCACAACAGCAGCAAGGGTTATGGCAGTGATGTTGACATCCTTCGGATTCGCGATGAGCGGACCTCCCCCAAGAACAATGACATAGTCCATCTGTGTGGTATTCTCGGAGACTGGCATATTTTGCGGCATCCCTGTATGCGTGTACCCTTCAGTAGGAATGGTCTCGCTGTACAGGATTTGAGGACTTGTGAGCTCCGTGTTCCTAGAGACCGTAGTCGTCATGGGAGGTTCGCTGAAGGGTTTGGACTTGGTTTCTTGTTGCTGCGGCACTTCCTTGTCAGTGTGGCAGATCTCGTTTGCCAGGGCGGTTAGGTTAGTTCCTCGGAGTTCAGGAGGAGAGGCGCACTTCAGCGAATCGGATGCGGAAATGTAGGACGGGTGGTGCGGCAGGCTACAGACGAACCCTGTTAGATTTTTGTCACATCGCAGCGCGTTGTTCACTATCATCAGATTCAAGCGATGGGCTTGCGACAAACGCACGACGTCTTCGTCGATAGTAGCTATATGATTCATTTGAAGGTCTACCATCAGGATTATGCCAGGCTGTGGATATAGATCCTGCAGTGCGTGAACGGGCACCGAAGTCAGGCGGTTCTCGGACAACCGCAAGATTTGAAGCTTTGGCAGGCCACGGAATGCGTGTTGGGATATGGTGGAAATCGCGTTCTTTTCGAGGAGTAAAACAGCTAATTTCGGGAGCCCGATGAAAGTGTCAGGTTCTGAGGGTAGATAAGAGAGAGGGCTCATGGATTGTGAGAGATTCTGAATTCTTAGCCAGCTGGTGAATTATACAACGTTATACCATATAGGAATACCGGCTGATGTACATGTTTATTTATTTATTGTTTAATTCAGGCAGAGCCCATAGACATAGATACATGTGACAAAGACGACAACATAATGTACAGACATCTAGAAATACAGTGACTAGGTTAAAAAATCGAGAAGTGGCCTATTATATTTAAGGTCTACGGACCAGCTCACATGTGTACGTAACTATGATGATATGGCTGAAACCTCCGTACATATGATTGCAAGTTTGAGTACTGGTAGAAAGAGATGAGTTCATTTTGAAGCGGGATGGAATGCTTCGTACAATTTCTAGTCTTTTGTTGCCCTTACAAAACCCCAAAACAAACAGTAACTCATAGTGGAGGAAGGCGGGTACTCAAACTTTAGCAGCTATCTAAAACAATTGTGTGTACAATCTCAAAATTGTATTATATCATATCATATATTATATTACTGACTACGTTCCCCGTGTCCCTCTTGGAACCACATTGCCATGTCACGAACACACTTTCATATGGCTTCTGCAGAAATAAGCTTCCCAAAATTTTATTCTATGCTTTGTGCTTTTTCTATGGAGAGGGTTTAAAACTTCTTTGTACAATGATTTTTCAAAGTTGTTTCAGTGACACAAATGGATGTTGTATTAGTTGACAGTAAACTTCGCACAATATATAGATATCATTTCTAGTTTAACAGGGTTTATGATGCCATAATTTGAAAATGTAGGATTTGGCCCGGCTGTTTTTAACGCCCTATCGCATTAGATTTAGAGTTTGCGGAGGATGTCATCCATAAAATTTACTTGATGTGGCCTTATGGTAATATAAGGCATTAACAGTGCAAGAGAAAATCTGTTTCTAACTCACCTAGGCTGGAGATGCGATCGTCCTTAAGGTACAGGTGAGTTAGGTGCTGCAGACCTCGGAAAGCTCCAGGCTGTATTGTAGAAACGTTCGACTTTCGGATACTCAGATGCACAAGTCTTACTAAGATACGAAGGTCATGAAAAGATTGTTCGAAGAGGGTCGGAGAAGTGAGACGCTCGATCAAGATGGATGTAGTTTCTTTCGGGAAGCCGGTGGCTATGGCGTCAAGACATGCGGGAAAGTTGTAGGGTCCACCATGTCCAAGCCAGCTACACGGAGAACCCTTCCATTTTGGATCGGGGCAGAGACAAGAATTGCCCCCTTTCGTATAACAGCTGTACGGGCATTGTTGGGCCGCTTCCAGCACCAAAAGCAAAGGACTGCAGACTAGAAGCAGCAAGCCCAGTGCTCTCCTCTGCACCATTTTGCTGTAGTGTGTGCTTTGATGAATTTCATCTTGCGTCTGCATGTACTTCCTGATGAGATGCATGAAAACCTCCCGTTTACGATTGCCAATGATGTGTGGATGTAATAAATACGTCTACTGACCTGCAGCTGTTCCGTTTACTAATAATAGACATGTTAGTTTCACAGGTGTTTTCGAACTTTGAACCCCACTGTCTGATCTGTATGTAAATTTGCACCCGGATTGTTTTTGAAGCCTTCTCGTCACGATATGTTCCCCACTACTAACGTTAAGTTATTGCCTACCAAAGTTTTTAAACAAATACAGCTGTGCAGTTAGAATATGCTAGGGAGCCCAAGTTTCTGCTGCAGTACCTTAAAAGTAGCTAGGGGACAATATTTAATCTAATAATTTCTCCATCTTGCCTACACGATATCATAAAGACCCGTAGACAATTTCTTGAGTTATGCTACTGCCTTGACCTACTCTGTCGTAGGTCAAGGAGGTTACCTGAGTTTCCCTGCTTGAAATAATGAGATGACAATTATTCATATAATATAATATAATATAATATAATATAATATAATATAATATAATATAATATAATATAATATAATATAATATAATATAATATAATATAATATAATATAATATAATATAATATAATATAATATAATATAATATAATATAATATAATAAATCCTATTTGCATAATTCATGACACAAGTCTATAAAGCTGTCGCGTTCCATGACAGGACTCAGCTCGAATACAGTGCTGTCACATGATATCATATTTCATACATACGTCGGATATGAAAACGCGTTTCTTGAATATATTCTTATACTTTTTTTAATGGTTTTTATTGTCCAAACAGTACCCGTGCAGTCGCAGCCTTTAACGGCTGAATTAATGCAGGGTATCACATAATAATCAATACAAATCACAACAATCAAATGATACACATGATAACACATATTTGCTCCACATATTTTTTGTGGAACTGTCGCAAGGGTCTGTGTGGCTGCCATTCGGCGCCACAAGGTGGCCTCAATACAGTCTCTTGCCAACCTGATGAAATTATATTCACGGATGTAATCTCGCCCACAGAGTGTTCAGGGACATGCTGTTTGTGCGGACTGACAAGAAGGAGAAGGCCGGCAGCTCGTCGTCCTCGCCCCGCTCGCCCACGGCCCGGCGGCCCAGCCTCAGCGCCCCGGCCAGCCCCGTCTCCAAGTCTAAGAACCCCCTGCACCGTGTCCTCAACCTCACCAAGAGCGGCGAGCAGCTGCGAACATCACACGACGGATCATCAAAGAAGCTAGATAGGAAATCGCCCAGTGAGTGAACGCTATTTCTCCATCATATCATTTTAGTAGCATAACTTGTTCATTGATGATACACTGACCAAGGACATCCTTGCTTTAACGTAACAAAAAGTTTGAGTCCACTTTTGTGCATTACAATGAGGTCTATAACAAGCACGATATTTCTCTTATCATTCTGTACACTGCATAGAATCCCTCATTTAAGCCTACCTTACAGTATGCGTAAAGGTTCCGCTTTTATAGACAAATGAAACAATACGACCTTTACGCATGCTTTTAAGTAAGCTTAAATATCGGATTGGTAGTGGTAACATAACTTGTTCAGCAACGTTATATACACTGGAATAAGATAAGAAAAACTTTTAAGTAGTTTGAGTCCACTTTTGTATCGCAACGGGATCTATAAGGAATACAAATATACGCGTCATTTCATTAACATCTGACTCGTAGATATATCTTTGTTGATTAACCTTTCGTCCTGCAAAAAGGCATCACCAGAAGGCTGATCCCAAGGATTAAAACACAAACTTTCCGTCATACATCTAGCTAACTTCAGTTGGCCCAGAACGCCCCAGTTGCCGAAGACCGTGAAGGCCCTAGCGGATCTCGGGCGCGCTGCATCCACCTCCACCATCCCCAGCAAGCCGGCGGTGCCCCCGTCAGACGAGTACCGTATCCCTGACTTCGACCCGGCCGTGTTCTCCACCCTGCTCTGCTACCTGCACACCGGGACATGCACGATCAGTCCGGACGTTTTACCAGGTGATTTACGTCTTATCATGTTCACCTCCGCAGAAGGAAAACATATTGTTTTTGTCACATAAGATCAATGACCTGGACCAGACGTCTGTCACCATGGTAATTGGTGTCTGTTGTGTTGGATATCATTATGTAGCAAGTTGGGCTGGTCACCGATATATATGAGTGTGTATATGACGTTTGTTTGGCTAGGCTACGTAAACGTGATGCATTTGCTTTGCAGATGTACCTTTCCAGTACTTCGTGTTGTTACGTTTCTCTGAGATAACGACGACTCAAGATGCCAGTAATAGATCTGTATCATTTTCAAAATCCGCTCCGTCTCCCTAGGGCTGGCTGCTGCAGCTGACAGGTTCGAGGTGAAAGACTTGAAGAAGGCCTGTCTCCGGTATACCTCCAAATACCTGACTACTGAAAACGTGAGTAAACCGTCACAAAAATGGCAAAACAATAATTCTCATCTTAGTTTTGTTCGTGTGTTTTTATTTTAATGTTTTGTACATGGATACGGGCCTAGCCTGACTAAATCTGCCCTCCTAACGGCCGGCCCGGTATTACACCAGCCGCTAGATACGGGCCACGTTATCGTCTGTGTCTTCATCAAGATGAATTCGAATGTGCAACTGATGCATGATGCCAGCCTCATTCGCAGACTTCTTGCAGTACTCTACAAAGCAGAGGTTCGGGTTTTGGCTTATCTTTCGCGTGTGTTTAGGTTTTTTAACGGGCTTTCGTGTTTGCACTAGTATCTTTGCTTTATGGCGCAAGCGCCGCAAAGAAGGAAGCCCGATAAGAAGCCTAAAACACGCCAAAAATAAGCCAAAACTCAAACCTATGCCCGGAGAGTATTCTTGATACCACGTCCTACATACACCTAGGTGTGGCCCATGTTCCACAACGTCCAGAGGTACATGACCCACAAGACCACGCGTCACGTGTTTGAGGAGGCGCTGCACCAAGTGGTGGACAAAAACCTGCCTCAGATCCTGCGCAGGCCCGAGTTTGTCAGCCTGCCGGACGACGTCAAGTTTACTATCGTGGAACGGGTAAGTCTGATTCATTTGTAGTTACCTCCGTGTATGGAGGTTTTGTTTTCCATGCATTTGTGCGTGCATTTCGGTGTATATGTGTGAACGTGTGTGTGTGTGTGTGCGCGCGCTTGCGTGCGTACGTGCGTACGCGTGTATGTGTACGTGCGTGTACCCGTGTGTGTGTGTTTGTTTGTTTGTTTGCTTGTTAACTTCGTCCGTTCGTTTTATAGGCATCTCCATTTTGTGTTAAATTAAAGCTCACACTACATTAGTATTAAAGTTTTCCCGCTTCGTACGGTTTTCTTGTGTGTTCGTATAGTTTTCTTGAGTGTTCGTTCAGTTGAGTGACAGCAGGTGACTGCAATCCGCCACATGCTGTTTCCGATGGGTTTTCCGATGTTCAAATTTTATTTCACTACAGATTGGCCAAAGCTATTCCAAGCAGTCCAGGGATACCGTGGCGTGTGAAGGACAGGTTAGCAGCGCCACCATGCGGCTGGATGACTTGTAACGGCTGTTGTAGCGTGTTCTGCAGTTAGACACACACGCGTGTTGTCAGGATAAAAGGATAGAGATCCTAGATTTATAAAGTAACTACAGATGTATTGGGCTAAGATAGTCCCATTCAACGTATGCGTAGAAAGGACCTACAAGGGTCAAAATAGAAGTTATGTATAAATGTACAGGTGATGTAACTGAGACTGACATTCTAAACGTTGGTAACGAAGTATGTGGGAGTTACTGTTCAATTTACTCTAGATGTTGGATGTGCAATATGAACACTCTGTTTCTTTTCTTACGTGTTGTTGTCGGGCAATTGAATAATTATGAAGGACGGCAAGTTGTGTTTTGAGTTGTGAATTTCAAGTCAATTCATATTTTGATCTCAAGTAACATGAATCAAAGTTGAAACGTTCTAAAGGACTGTCTTCTAAGCGAATATCTTACAGACTACAATCAGGATCCCTGCCGGTAGAATGGGCGATTCTTCCGATCAGAGATCCCAATCAGAGTTATTAATTTCTGTTGACAGAGATTCCGAACGGGATCTCTATCGTTAGAATCGCCCATTATACATGTACCAGATCGGTCTCTCTACATTCTACCGGATTAATGTATTTTATATACATCCCTGACTTCACTGACTTGCTGAGAAAGTACGCTTGTCTACTTGACTTTTTATTGTTCTTGTCAGTATTCTTTGCAGCAGTGGAAAGGTCTATGACCGGACGACAGAACATTCGCAGTATTCTTCTGTATTCAAGTTCACGTCTATATTCGACGTTACAGATCAGTTTTTATGTTTCTGGTACAATGTTGTATCTGCCTATATCACGATTTTAGGACATTTCTGGAAGTGGAATCAATTCTGTTGCTAATAAAATATTATTTGGAGCTCCGGAGATTGATATTCGGATGTTTGATTTTAATTTTATTACTAGTATTCCGAAGCATATGTCTGAAGTCTCGTGGCGGTTGAATGCATTGCTGTCAACACTTACTGATCAAGACACGGTAGTGGTAGTCGTACCTATTGCAAAGATTGTGTTTGACAGTAACCTTCTTTATTCAACATCTCCCCAGAAGAGAACTAATAGTTTTTGCATAATAAGCTGTTCAAGTAAACATTGGCGGTCTGTAATCCAAGATGGCGGACATGCTGTATACCTCTTTTACGTACCCGGGTGACAGCCTACTATTTCTTTCGTCAAAAAGTCGGCCAGGAATCCCCAGTGAAGGCCACAGGTTGATCAGCTTCATTCCGGAGACACCCAACTACTTTTCTACCGTTGTAGACTCGGTATAAACTCTTGGCGTCGGCGAATATTTCATTGGAGGAGGACTGTGAAGTTTGAAAATGGCGGCTGACCGACGAGATGTGATGCGCCATGATTACTCCTTCTAGCGTTCTTTATGTGAGGGTTTGTTTGTTACCGAGGATCTTCTAAAACAGAACATTATCGTCACATGCAAGATACTTCTGTGCATCTCCAATGGTAAGTGACTTATGATTGTTATCTGTTAACATGGAGAACATGGAGTGCTGTGAACATGAAGCGCTGTTAATCAAATTAGAGGAAACCAGGACTGAGAACTCTACCAACTTTTCCAAACTAAATGACAAAATGGATGCATGAAATCTGGCATAAAACGGTTGGGAGACATTTTCACGTGATGAAAAGTGTGTAGAGCAAAGTCACCTCATTTTTCGGAACTACAAGCAAAAATTGCGGCACTAGAAGTGCGACAATTCCACACTGACCAATAATTCGCGCAAACAATGCCTAGTACGCATCTGGGGACTCCCAGGTAGCTATATGAGAATAAGGATCTCCTGGTAAAGTTCTTGGAGTTTGCTGCATCAACTCTGAAAGTCAATGCTGCTTTATTTGGGGTACATCGACAAGATTCACTGTTTTTAATAGGGAAGGGAACTGGTCGACATGTGTGATAGTCAAGTTTATTACTTCCTTGCCAAAACAAAGGAAAGTTTGTTAGGCTAGACGAATCTTGAAAGGTGTTAAAAATGAAACTGGTCATTTCATCTCGATGAGACCAGATCTGTCTCCGGGTAGCAGATCTTTATTAGTACAAGCCAGGCTGATGGTAAATACAACAAAGCCTTTTCTTCTTTGTCGGGCGAATAAACGGCTACAGGTGACAGGGCCGCATAACCTTGATTGCAGCGAATCATACGCTGCAGCTGGGGAGAATAGACCGATCCCGAATGTCCATCACGATTAGTAGTTCAACCAATGACAGAGTGGCAATTGTCGGTTCGACCAATGAGAGAGCGGCTGCATGTCCGTCAAATATTTGCATATCTATGTTTTGACGGAGGTGGGCGGGGCTTGAGGATCGCATGGCATCTCATTCTGCGTCACCTGGTTTCTTGACTGGATACTGCTAAATTAAAGCACGTTAACATGTTTGAACCGTACGCGTTGGATGAGGACGAAACCTGTCCCTGAAACTCGGGTTGAGAACTAGAACTACAGCTTCGGTTATTTTCAGACTGTATTTTTCTTTCTCCATTTGTCGTCAACTATTAACATGACTGACTTTCGTAGTTATGTGTCTTTACTAAGGCCATGTTGATTTGATTATATGGATGACATCCTCCGGGAGCCCCAAAACTGATGCGCGCGTGCGAATAAAAAAAAAGTTTTGCAAAAAAAAAAGTTCTTTTCATTATGAAATCTACGTGGTCATGAGGGTTGAGCAAATGGTACAGAATATGGTTTGGCGAATAATCTAGTCTTCAAGTTCATTTCTTCACAATTTCGTCTTTTTTCGTTTGATTTTGGCATTCTACGACATTGGTATAGTTTTTATTAATTTTTTTTGTAACTTATGGTATATTTTTGCTCATTTTGCAACTGTTTTGTACGATTTACAGTATGGTTGAAAACTTTTTTTTTGGAAACGGCTGAAAATTCATGCGCGCGCGGATGTCATCCATATAATCAAATCAACATGGCCTAACAGTGAAAAACTGGTATTTTCGTCCTTTGACCTCTGTATGTTCAATTGCAATGTCTGCGGTCATTCTTATATCGAATTCATGCAGTAATGATTTGACTCGTATACATATAATTGTGTTAAGATGAAGCTAAATTATTTGCCTTAATTGCTGTATTATTCAGTTATACTAGTATTTGTTTTTCAATGGTGTATGCCCCTTACAAGAATTTGTGTTGAACTTTGAATTTGAGCTGGCTTATTAGTTTCTTGTTCTCATAATTTCTTTGGTTTGAACTGCCTTCAGCCATTAAGTTTACAATGGTTTAACATGAAGTATAGTGTGTTATAGACTATCAGATGTTATAGAATATGGACTATCGGAATGACTGGCAGACGAGTGCGAGTACTATTTTTGCAGCCATGTTGGTATGTGTACCCGTGACCTTGGTACTGCCAGGGAGAGGGGCGTGGCTTTGACCTTGTGCTCACACCGCAGTTCAAGTCTGGACGACATGTATTATTGTTATCACTATGTGTGTGTGTGGAAGGGGGCTCTTCTAAGCTTCCGTAATTTGTAAATAGCTCTCACACCGGAGTTTTGGGACGACATGTATGATTGTTATCACAATGGACCTGGCTGGCTCTCCTAAGCTTTTGTAATTTGTAAAAAGCTCTCATACTGCAGTTTCTGGACGAAATGTATCATGGCTATCAAAGTGGCGGCGTAGCCTTTTCAGCCTGCAAGGGGGGCCAAAATGTAAGTCCCATGAAAACCTACCCGACTACCAAGTTTTTTTTACAATCCTTCCATATCTTAAGAGGCTATACTTCACATGTATTGTCTTTCGTGGCGATGAATTATTGTCAGCACTAGTTGTTGTAGTGGTACCTATTGCAAAGATTGTGTTTAACAGTAACCGCCTTTATTCAACAACTCCCCAGAAGACAGGGCTAATGCATAGTTGTTTGCACTTGTTTGCATTTGAAAAAGATAAATAAATAAGTTGTTCAGAAAGTGAATCATAGACCGTAACAATAGGCCACAAGCCGTTTGAGATAGAATATCAGCACCAAAATGTGGCTTACTTGCATATTATACTGATCACAGTGCAAGCTAGATAGGTAATATTTGCAAAGCAAATGCATAATGTTTACCTTTACATGGTCTGGCGTAACTTCATTTTTATTCTTACTCAAATACATTGAATTTCATTGAATGATCATATACTAATATATGTTGACCAGCGTCTCCAACTCTATCCTAATACATAATGTAACCCAGGGTGTCTGCTACAGCACTAGTTACCATGGTGACAGACGTCTGGTACAGGTCATTGACCTTATGTGTTTGGAGGAAAAGAATTAATAACACAAACAGAGCAAAAATATATTTTTCCTTCTGCGAAGGTAAGCATAACAAAGTAATTGGGTGTTGGGGAGGGGGGTAACATGAATTTAATATCAGACATGGAAAAGCCTACGCACTTGGCCATTACATTTTGCGTGTTTACAGTGGTACGTCCACTGTACAGTGCATGAGCCTGTGGTTAACTGTGCCGATCAGTAACTGTTTGTTGAGGTAACACGCTGCGCTTGACCCCCATAACCCGGCCTGTCCGTCGTCAGAGTACATCTCTGTGACCCTGGGGTTCTCGGTGGCCGGGTCCTGTATCCGCAGCACCTGAGAGCCGCACGGGTACGACGCATTTTGCATGTGCACGGAAAACTGAATCGGTTTCTGGTGAGCTCCAACCCACAGGTCCCCAGTGGTAGCGTCCACATAGATATTGTCTACGCCTGTATGCAGTGTTATGTCGTGGCTGAACGTTAGCGTGTTGTCGTCCTGTCGGTGATACACTATCACTACCCCGGTGGTGGGATTCGCAACGTACACGAACCTGCCGTCCGGGGAGATGTTGATGCCGTTCGCGTACATGAGACCGTCGGCCACGATGGCTGCCTCTCCGTCGCTGTAGTAGACAACGTTAGACCACGGGAGTAGAAGCCAAGTCTCGGCCATTCTGCTGTACAAACCGGTGGTATATTTATCGTTGGTGGCGTAAAAAGTCTCCGGTCCCGTGGCAACGACGTCGTTCAGGCTGTATAGAAGCGGGTGTTTGACAGACTTCAGGTGGTGCAGGCTGTTTGAGGCGGCGTCAAAGCGGAAGATTTCTACGCTGTCTCGGTGACCTTTGCCATGGTTCACGACAAAGAGCCGAACTTCTCCCGAGTCGTCTTCGTAAACGCTAAGACCATGCGGCATGAAGTCTTCCCCGCTCGCTAGCACGATCTTAATTTCCTTGGCTCCCTCGGCAGGGTTCTTAAAGTCAAACACGAGCATTTTCTGCTCAAAGGTGTAGTACACGGGGTCGAGAATGAACCCCGGAGGCAACAGACCTGACGAGATGAACGCCAGACCAGACGAGGTGAGCGCGATGTCCTCAGAACCCTGCTCCACGCCCGGAACAAGCCGGCAGGTGCCCGGCACGTGGTTGTAGACGTGCTTCAGCACACCCGCTGCAGAGATGATCTTTGCTATGTGGTTCACAATCACCGCAGACAAGACCGCGACGAGTGCGAGTAGTAGTTTTGCAGCCATGCTGGTACGTGTAGCCCGGTGACCCACTTGTAAACCGGCACTGCGAGGACAGGGGTCAGGGCGTTGTCTGCCCTTTGTACCAGTAATCACACCAGAGTTTCTGGGCAAATACGGCACTAACCTGTTTGTTCCCTTCTGCAAATAGCTCTCACCAGGGTGGGAAGGGGTGGGGTGACTCAATGCTTTATGGGAATTTAGGCTTGTTACAAAATGGCCGCCAAGCAAGATGGCGGCTCATGAAGTACATGTTGGAAAACAGATCACAGTTCATCAGGATGACCACGCAATACTACATACCAGGTACGTACAGACGTAGGATACATTGGTGCTTCATCTTTCATGTGACTTGTACTTACAGAAGAGCCGATTGCTCTGTTTCTGAACCTTTCGTCCTGGAAAACTGCAGTTTGTGCCCTCTGACGACATGAAAATTTGATCTGTGATAGTATGGTAGTTCGAAATCGCATTTGAAGTACTGATCTAATTACTACTATATGGGCCCTTTTAGCACTGAAAACCGGAAAATAATCAGTGGAACCGATGTCGAGAAATTGAACCCACAATGTACTTGCCCCCCTCCCACCCACTGAACAAAGTGTGTTTAGTTCAAGCGCTGGCATAAATTCAAAAATATCACACGATCTTTTTCAAAGTAGGATAAAACTTCAATACATATATCAAACCAACATATTCCGGAATATGAAAGAGATCAGGACTTTTGATCTAGAAATAGAGACTGTCAAAGTTGCTTGAAATTTGGGCAGCCATTTTGTTTACACTATGTGAACTTCAAGCACTGGCATAAATCATAAAAATTCAACTGATGTTCTACAAAGTGAAATCAAACATGACGTCATACACCACTCCAACACATTCTGGAATATTAAGGGGATGCCAACTTCTTATTTAGAAATATAGGCTGTCAAACTTACCTAAAATTTTGCCAGCCATGTTGTTTACAGTATGGGAACTTTAAGTGCTGGCATAAATTCAAAAAAATCAACTAATCTTGTTGAAAGTAAAATGAAACATAAGTACATATATCCACCCAAATTATTCTAGGATATGGAAGAGATCCATTAATTTGCTCCAGAAATATAGACTGTCAAAGTTACTTAATATTTTGTCAGCCATATTGTTTACACTATGTGAATTTCAGGGGCTGACATAAATTTTAAAAAATCAACTAATTTTGATGAAAGTAAAATGAAACATGAGTACATATATCCCTCCAATCTATTGCAGAATATTGAAGAGATCCATTCATTTGATCCAGAAATACAAACTGTCAAAGTTGCCTATAATTTTGTCAGCCATATTGTTTACAATGTGTGAACTTCAGGTGCTGGCATAAATTCAAATACATGAACTTATCTTGTTGAAAGTAAAATGAAACTTGACTACTTATATCACCCCCACATATTCTGGAATATCAAAGTGATCAGGACTTTTGATCCAGATATATAGACTGTCAAAGTTGCTTAATATTTTGTCAGCCATATTTTTACAGTGTGTGAACATCATGTGCCGGCATAAATTCAAACATATAGAATGATCTTCTTCAAAGTCAAATGAAACATAACTACATATCTCCTGTCACACCACTGCAGGATATAGAAAAGATCCTTTCATTTGATCCAGAAATATAGACTCTCAAACTTCCAAACATTTTGTCAGCCATATTGTTTACAGTATGGGAATTTCAAGTACTGGCATACATTTCAATACCACAAAAGATTTCTTTAAAAGTGAAATGAAACAAAAGTACATATGTAAGTCCAACATATTGCAGGATATTGATAATGTACATGTTTTGGATAAAGAATTATAGACTTTCAAACATGTTCAAAATTTTGTCATCCATATTGTTCACACTCAAAACTGCTTTGGGTATCAAATATAAGCCTAGGGAGAAGTTCTCAAAGAAAGAAAGCATCTTCTCCCAAATAAAGTAGAATAGTAGTACATATACACTTCTAACATATGTTGTAATTTCAAAGAGATACATACCTATTACTCAGAAACATTTGCATACAAGAATGATACACCTAGTGTAATACATTGGCCAGGTCCCCCCTCCCCCACCTGCAGTAAATGTGTGTATTCATGAATGTTTGGATGTTATTTTAAACACTTATGACCATCTATGAGCTTCACTGCCAGTTATATTATTGTGGAATAGGAACCCATGATGGAGTATCAACTTAGAAAAATCCATACAAAGTCATTCATGGTGTATGAATAGAAATGTAATGCATGTACCAGAGGATTATCCATGCAATGTTATGTGATGCAGTCTGAATGTTGACAGTATTTTAGTTACTGATTGTCTGCAGAAAGAAAAGCAAATGGTACTTTCATTTCATTATTATTCTCTTTATTTTCTAGTTGAAGTACAGGACCAAGTGAGGTACTGGTTTGTTCTGCACCAGGAATGTGGAGTTCAACCCTGCCTAAGACACCAGATCACCTTCTATTGCTATCTTCAAGTCCCATTCATCATTTAATGTTAAAACCAGAACCATTTAATGTTAATACCTTGGATTAAAACATGACAATGTATTTTAAAGATATGTTGTTTATCTTTTTTTTTCATTATAATAATGCTGATAATTTGATATCTATTTCTGGATGACTTGGGATTCCTCATCCCAACTTTACCTGGACCTGTAAGCAAGCTATACAAGTAATTGATGCTAGTCAAGCGATTGCATTGTTGGCATTATAATGTTCTATTTTATGATATCTAAAGTGCATGTGTATGTGGTAGGATCAATTCTGGGAATATATACCTTAATTTATTGGAAGGTTGTAGATACATGCATTTTGACTAGAATCATTATAATTATGATAGGAATAACTTGTTATGTCACTGTGTACAATTTTTAAGATATTGTTTTCATAAATCCAAGGTATTGCCTGTATTGTACCAATTTTTGTGCATTCCTTTTGATAGTCATTAAAGACAAAACCTGTCATGAAATTGTCTGTGTTGCCTTATTTTTTTTATTCTTTTATAAATAATCATAGTATGATTTCACAACAAGATGACACTTCAGCACAGTGGAGGCATTGGGGGATGACAAGCTAGAAGTATCATGTTTTCACAGAAGACAAGTATCCAATAATTTCCTGAAAATTATCCCAGTACCAAGAAATTTCATTGGAATGGCCTAAGTATAAGTTTAGGATAAATATTTACATATCTTGATAATGATGTGTAAAAAATTTCTAAAAAATCAACAATCACAACATAAAAAACTCGCTAACACATGTGATGTACAACAGGAAAAAAGTTGACTTTGCCGCCAGGAAGTCTACCCATCGTCCCTTGAGCGTGAAACGAGCCTCGATCTCGTGAATGCCGGCGTTTCCTCACCATTGTACTTAGCACCATGCTCTCACACCGGAGTTTCTGGACGAATCTTATACTGATTCAAGGGGGAGGGGCGTGGCTTTTCACTTCTGCAAATGGCTGGCGCGCCCGAGTTTTTGGACGAAACGTATGATGGTCACAACATTTTGAAACATTTTCAAAAAAACAGTAGCAAGATTAGAATACGTCTTATTTTGCAGGAACTAAACTGGAAAGAGGGTCTGCATGGGGGGGGGTCCTGGCAACGGTTAACGGTAAATTCAGCAGGGCCGATAACGCTTAACGGTAAATTCAGGACGGTCGGCAACGCTTAACGGTAAATTGACAGGCTTTTTTTTCGAGCTGCACTGGATTTGGTATCTCGCTT